GTGATGATGTATATTAAACCAGCGTGAAAGCTGATAAGAATGGCGAGGACGAATAATAGAATTCGAGCCACGCTCAACAGGAGTGCACTGCTGAATTTGTCCCTTTGGACTGGCATATCCATCGTAGGCGGATTTCGTGATAGGCAGAGTGTCGCGAATGAAGTATCTGAGAAGGATTAGTACAACTACCCACTCGCTGCTACAGCAACACTAATATTGTTGAGGCCGTATCTGATCCGAACGCTTCGTCTGCTGAGCACTTATCAACTCAAGAAAGAGATGTAACGTCCGTCCTTGCGTAGCGAGACACCCTGCGTGACGAGACGCTACAGACACGCCCCAACATAACAAACTTGACAACAGGTCAGAAGAATAGATATTCTCGGAATAGTAGCCTTTAGCTATAAGGTCTAATCTACCCTAATGTCTTTTAGAAATAGGGTCTGCTTACCGTGCAATACGACAATTTGCTATGAGCGTCATGCGACCGCCTCGCTTTGGCTAGCAGTGGGTGCGTCAAAAGCTCATGCATCTTGTCGAAAGTCTGTCAACTTACAGCTTGTTATATCATTATCCTATCCCGAGCACTGCGCTTGAGTTCGAGAGGCTGTCATGCTTCTGTGTTAATTCCAAGTCCGCCTACTAGAAGTGCTAGATAAGGAGGACCCGCACACCTTAGCTTGAAGCAGCTTAGCTGTAATCTATCGCTGCTGACGCTAGACCTGTGGCTGTGTGGCTGTGTGGCTGTGTGGCTGTGTGGCTGTACGGCGCTTTTGCCAAGCGCGCCAGGACACCCGAAAACCGGCTCGGATTAGGAGCAGGGCTAGGTTTGAAGGCCCTGGCGTATAGCTCATGTTAACGAACACACCCAGCATCGAACCCGCAACTAGCTTCCAATACAGCCATTATGCAACATCAAGACGCAGTGCAATAGATAACTATAGCTAACGCGAAAGCTTACATATCATTAGAGAATAAACCGTCGCGCCGCCCTCTAGCTCCGCAGACCCGCCGTTAATCCCTTGTCCGACCCACTACGTCCTTGTACTTCTCGAGCACATCGCAACCGATACGTATACTAAGCAGTAGCCGAACATCGCTTTAGCTTGTGGAAGGGGAGTATATTAAGTTAGGAAGCGTCTGAGAATAGGGTGTATAGGTCTCACAGAGCGGGCATGGCCTTGCTCTGCGTTTATTCATCTTCATTTGGCGAACTTGAATAGTACACGCCGAAAATTCAGCATAAAAATTTCTCATATCAAAACATCTATCAGCAAAAGCTAGTTAAAATTACGCAAACTCTAGCCCGCCGATCCGCTCTTCTGACGCCCGTTACTACGCCGGCATCACCGACTTCGACCTTTTCAGCGTCAAAATGAAGACATCAATAATAACACCTGCTCTCGTATGCACTCTGCAGTCGTTCGAGACGCTATCTAGGACTTTAGCGGAAGTCCTGAAGCGCGGTGAGGCCAAACATGTTTAGCCTGATCTTCTTCGCTTCTTCCGCAACGCACATCGAACGGGCAAGAGGTTCTAGTATTGGCAAATTAGGCTTGGTCGCAGCATTAATACTAATAATTCAACATCTTGTTTTGATGGGCTCTGACGATTCGTCCAGATGCCCTTCCTCGATCGACAGCTGTAATAGGTTGCTGTGCAATTGCACCTTGAGGAGAACTAGGATTATTCAATACCCAAATGATAGCTCTTTTCGGCCCATGCGCATCAGAATGCAAGTACTTTTGCGGTTGCTTACTTTCCTTGGTCAATGGGAAAAACACACCGATTCTTGGGGCGACCAGAGAAGGAAGGCATATCCCTTGACAAAGTAGAGTTGACCTAAGTAGTTCTCCCTCCATATGATGGCAGAGGTTCTGACTGCGGATAGCCATCCATAGTGGCTATCACCCTCTGAAGTTTGCGACGGTGACCGAGTTTGAAGCCAAGGCGGTCAAAGTCCTCCTCTTTGACCGTCATTAGCTGTCTCCACGATACATACCCTTCCTCTTCAGGCTGTCTTAGTTTTCCCTGAGGGCTCCATAACCACTGGACCTGAGAATTGTGGCCCATGTAGCCGGTTTCACTTGCGTCTTCGTTTTGTAGTTGATCTTCCTCTAAGAACTCTAGTTCTTCGATGGAACCGACTGACGCTGCGACCTGAGCTTCTCCGGAAACGGGACTGTTGTCATCCTGTTCATCAAAAGATGATGCTTGCCTCAGTCTTTTACCAATTGACTTTATCGGCACGGCAGGCGTAAGAGGCGTGTCGTTCTCGAAATCTTTGAGAGTGCCCTTGATTCTCTTCCTGCTTGTCTCAAGATCGACGCTAATATCGCTCAATAGCGTGGCCAAGGTCTGGTTCTTCTGTAACGCCCTGTACGAAATAAGAAAACGTAGATAAGAATGATTAAATTAACAAACTCTCTCAAGCGATCTCTGCGCTCTTCGTCGTAAGGACATTCCAAATTCTGTGTCCCGCAGTCGATGCAGCGCGGTCTGATGCCAGAGCATTTCGTTTCTGCATATGTTAGCTCGCACAATAGGTCCTCACGAAGCAACTGGTAAGTCGAGACGCAAGGACTGGTTTAGAGATCATGCCTACTGCGCTTCCGGCATCTATTGCACTACATCTCTGATCAACGTCATGATGCTGATTCGTGGAAGTACGATACTTACTGCCTTATCCACTGTCTCGGAACGAATAGGGGGAGGCTTCGGAAGGGCAGTCTGCTGGCCAGGCCGCCTGAGCTGAGGGATGGCTACTTTGGCGCCAGGGCCGCTGCTGCTCTCCATTGATGGCAAGCACCTTTAGAGGTGGCTTGAGTCGGCTGGGCGGAGCTCGGGTAATGATTCAATAGAAGCAGATACCGGGGTGCAAGTGGAAGCAGGTACGTGAGAAACGGGGCTGTGACGATAATATTGCGCACAGCCTATGATTGTAGGCAGCAGGCTGGAGGGTGCAGCGCTCACAGCTTCTTATGACGAATTATTGCGGAAAGATGACGTAGCCGATTGGTGGCGAAAGTGGTAAAGCTTGATCCAGCCGATTAAGCTCTCGACCAATCAATCTCGCTACGTCTGTCGCGCCACGAACCTCTACTATCAGCGCCCTTACGTCATAAATGAATAGATCGACCCAACGAAATACACGGCAGCATCGCACCTTTCAACACCAGCCTCTAGGATCGCTACCTCATAACTACATTAACATCCTTTCGTAGCCCTTAGTGTAATTTGATGGCCGACCAATGGCCGAAAGTAGCCATCCCCAGGTTGAGAAGACATGACAATGCGCACAATTCCCCTCAAAATAAAACCCCCAAACCTGCCAAAGCCGATCAAACCAAGGTAGAGAGAGCATGTGATTATTGTCGCCAGCGCAAGATCAGGTGTACTGGCAAGCAGCCGTACTGTCGAAACTGTGTAGATCGACATGTACCTTGCGTCTATTCACTAGCTCGAAAGCATCGCTTAAAGAAGTTCGTCTTTCAGACTCCATATGATTGCCTAACTAACTCTCGAGCAGTGCTACAGAGCAGAACGATCAGCTCCTTGCTCTTCTGAGAGATCTGAGTGCCCATGTTGATAATAAAGGGCAGACAAAAATTGATCAACTTTTCGATTCAGTATGTCTTCTCAAACCTACAGCGTTACTATTACTGATACACAAAAAGTTTAGACATAACGACTCCGCCCATGTATCAACTATGGCAGTGGAACCACTCGGGAAACGATTAAGAGGGGAGTCATTGTCTGATGGAGGAGCAGCCGACATTTCTGGGTCAGTAAACTCCGATGACGGCCCCCAGCTTCAAGACGAGGACCTGCTTCGAAATAGCGAGTCAAGAGCCACCGGCTTCGTTGGAAAAAGTTCTGAAGTTCAGTGGTTGCGGGATCTTAAAACTCAAATCGGCAGTAGAGCTTCAGAGGAATGGGAACGGCCATATGGGTCACTCCACAAGTTACAAGGAAGCAACAGGGAGGCGGTTGTGCAACGAGAAGATGCTCTGCATGCTCAACAAGAATCACCTAAAGCAGGCAACATCTCGCATATTTCGGATTCCACCTTTTATCTGGATAATGACGACCTCGATGTGGACATTATAGTGGACCCATACGAACTGCCTTCGCCAGAAACAGCTGAGAATCTGTTTGACTGCTATATGCGGACAATTCACCATTCTTTCCCGATCTTACCCGACATGTTCGAAGATCAATTTCGAAACTACAATGACTCCGCGAAACGAAACCGAATTTACAGAGCCCCGGAGCATTGGCAAGCGACATTGAACTTGGTTTTAGCAATAGGTGCACAGTATGCGCATTTAGTGCAGGCAGAATCGCGGGCGGACGAACGAGACCACCTCATCTACATGACCAGAGCCATTCGGATTCTCGGATTAGACAAAATTGCCACTTCTCTTCATGCTCCTAGTCTGTCAATAATTCAGGTATGTTACCGAGTACCCCGGGGGTGTATGTCGGCACATTCTAATCGCTATTAGGTTACTGGTCTGCTGTCTTTATATTACTTGACAGTTGGTCATGTTAGCAGGTGAGACAGTCCTGATTATAGCCTCGTCCGTTTGCAGCTTTAACATTATCCCTCTAGAGCCTGGATGATGATAGGTACATCTCTACGGTTCGCTCTTGCCGTTGGCCTTCATCTTCGAAACGACGATCCCTCCGCCTCGCCAAAACAGAAAGAGAGCTTGGTACGAACATGGTGGAGCCTACATTCTATTGAGAGCCAATTGTGCGCCCTCATCGGTCGACCTTGCACTATACCTAGCAATGAATGCACCGTTCCTTTACCGCAGATAATATCAGAAGAACAATCCAGCAACAGTGCTCTACCTCGATTAAGGGATCCGATAGGCATAAGCGAGAATATCGCACTTTCGGAACCATCTCCATCAAATATATCGAACAGAGGCAATTTAGAGACCGGCATGCATGTTTCGTTCTTACAGGCTCGCATAAAAGTCGCCGTCATCATGCAGAAAGCCCTCTCGAAACTGTACTTGCCACGAACATCGATGGGTCCCTGGGAACAGATTCAAAAAGAGATTACATCATTGACAAGAGAAATCGATGAATGGGCGGCAGAAGCGCTACCTGAAGTGCTCGGCCCAGTGGACTCTATTCAAGAACACCGCGTCCAGCGCGAGCGGTTGTTGCTCCGCTTCCACTACCATAGCGCCAGATTAGTTATCTCTCGCCCAAGCCTTTGCCGCCTCGAGCGACGCATCAAAGCCCAGAGTGATGCTTCGGCAACCTTTGATCAGAACACGGCCGATACATGTGTTCAAGCTGCTCACGAGGTAACGAGGCTTTTCCCTGACCAACCGGACTTGATATTTATTTACCAGCAAAGTCCGTGGTGGTGCACTGTACACTACATCATGCAGGCGATAGCGGTTTTCCTCCTTAAGATGTCCTCAGAAATTGGCACGACCCAAAAGGAAGAAGAACTTTCCAAGAGCATCGATAAGCTAGTTCGATGGCTCCGGTGGATGAGTCCAGGGAATGCCGTCGCCAAGCGCGCGCACGAAGTGGTAATGGACATTATCAGGACCAGAGTACCGCGAGTCCGAACTGAAAATTACAATATTTTGGCAGAGGAACAGGCAAGGCTGTCTTCCAACTATCCAACGGCGACCTCCAACGTTGATACCCAGTCCACTGCCACTTTCGAAAAAGAGCAGCCTGTACAGGCCTCTGGGGAATTCCAGCCAGGTCAGTACTTTATGCTAGACCCGGCCCTGCAAATGCGTCCAACCTTCAGCAGCCCCTTCATAACGGATTTCGATCAATCTAATCTGCTGTATACCCGATTCTTTCCAAGTGGACATCCTATGGAAGAGGATACATGGATGGGGTACCCGAATCTTCCAGAAAACAATCAGTGGCCACCTGCTTGAGCTATATTTACCGGGACATGCTAGGATGACTTCCCTCAATAACGGAGATGTTGGTAGATGCGTTGGCTTTGTAATTAAGTTATGAAACCTGTAGAGCTGATTTTTATGATTTCAGCACGCGCCAGAGGCAACTACGGTGTTGGAGTCTGTCTGTCGGGCTTGTCACTCGGGGTTACCTCTGTGTTGTGTCAGCGTGTCAACCAGCTGTCAGGCCTGAGAGGTTGACGATATGTACTGTTCTGTACCTCGATCAACTATTGTTAATCATTTTATATAGCGTAGTACCTTACCAAGCAAAGCTACCATCAGATCTCTACTCTACCCTTACCAGCGCTCATAAGCATCGACGATCCGAAGTCCTCATCACCCCCAAAAGTCAAGCTAAAGCACCTTTCTACAAACCTAATAATTGCAGTGCTTATGCAAGGAGCTATTCATTGTATGGCCGTACAACAGCTGTATCTCCAAGGTATGCAGACCCCTTCCACCTTTGTACATGCTTGCAACGACGGCGTTCTTCCAGTAACACTCACTCCACTTGCGGAAGCCTAGACTCGGATCTTAGTATTCTGTATCATGCCAGTTAGCCTCTGTCGCCTGCCATGCCCGCTGTGTGAGACCTGCCCACCCTATTCTTTAGACGCAACCTAACTCATAATATCCCCCTTTAACGAGCTAAAGCGATATCTAGCTATTGCTTAGTATGTATCGGTTGCGATGTGCTCGAGAAGTACAAGGACGTAGTGGGTCGGACAAGGGATTAACGGCGGGTCTGCGGAGCTAGAGGGCGGCGCGACGGTTTATTCTCTAATGACATGTAAGCTTTCGCGTTAGCTATAGTTATCTATTGCACTGCGTCTTGATGTTGCATAATGGCTGTATTGGAAGCTAGTTGCGGGTTCGATGCTGGGTGTGTTCGTTAACATGAGCTATACGCCAGGGCCTTCAAACCTAGCCCTGCTCCTAATCCGAGAGCGTCTATTCTTCTGGCCTGTTGTTGGGTTTGTTATGTTGGGGAGTGTCTGTAGCGTCTCGTCACGCAGGGTGTCTCGTTACGCAGGGACGGACGTTAGAACCTATACTAGGTATAGATACTGAGTTGCATCGTAAAATGAAGGCAAGATCCCTGTCCAGAGAGTGCCCTGCGACATCAGCCTCTCATCTGCAGCCTAGCCCCCATTTTTGCAAACCATGCGGGTGAATGGTCCTCTCTGCAGTACCTCACGGACTCACTGCGTCCATGCTGGACTTTACAATGCGCCTTCTTCATGCGTCCTTTTTCTCGCAGACTGCAGTTGCAGGGGCTACGTCTTGTTTAAGAGCAGCTGTACTACCTGTGTGTCAATGCCGTTTAGTTAGTACCATTACATCCTTTCAAGGATGGTTCACATGCGGTTTTGACACGAACAGCCTGGCAAACTAAGTTACTGTTACTGGATATCCAAACAAAGTACCTGACTAAAGTTACTGGCTCGAGCGCAAAAACTAGAAGACGATAGGTCGAGTGCCCCATGTTCGTGGCGTCCACTCAGAAGGAACTTAAGCGCTGGATCGCTGCTTTATCAGTAGCGCTTACGCGTCAGTGCATGGCGGAGCAAGCCACTAACACAGGAATGTGTGCTAATAGTCCGCATGCAGAAAAGGGGCTTACTGCATACAGGAAAATTAAGGATCTTTGTGACAGTCGCATGAGTGAAAGCAAGGCTTCCCGTCCGCTCAGCCATATACAAGCAGTGTACCGGCGGATTAGTAGTTAGGTGGGTGACCACTAGCGAATCCCCGCTGTTGTATGTTTTTGCAACATTTTTGCTATTCCAATGCTCGCCGTTTTTTTGTTGCTGACTACTAAGCTTCCACTAGGCCTTCCGAACCAACCCGCACTGCAACAATCACAGACGGCCTCCTCGAACAACATCTTAATATATATATAACGTGGTTCATAAGCGAGCGGCCACCCCAAGCGAGTGGCCACCCCAACACTATCGCAGCGCACGCGCAGCAATATCGTCTCATGTCTCAACAACGCAACGTACAACTAGCTTATACTGAAGGAGATATAATCCTAGCTGTCTCTAATATTAAATTAAACTAGAACCTAAGTGTAAAGCGTGCTGCAGCAATCTACAACGTCCCCTAAACGACCGTACGCCGCCGACGCGCTGGACAACGCTCTCGACGCGAATGCGAGCCGAACTTAAAGCGCCTTACAAAGCTTAAAGAGGAGGTGATTGTGCAGCGCATACTAGATAAATCTCTACGAGGTGTACCACTCTTAAAGGCACACGTACGAGATATAGCTAATAGACTGCTAAGAGAGCGTAGTAGGAAGCCTACAGGCAAGAACTAGGTTGATAACTTCATTAAGCGTACACCTAAGCTGCGAACGCGATAGAGCCGTCCGTACGATCACCAGCGAGCTGTCTGCGAGGACCCAGCAATTATTAGGCCCTAGTTTACGCTTATTTAATCAATAAAGGCAAAGTATAGCATCGCAGATAAGGATACCTAGAACTTTAATGAGTCTAGCTTTATAATAGGCAAGATATCCTCTCAGCTTGTTGTTACAGGCTCAGAGAAACCTAGAAAACAGAAGAAACTACAGCCTAGCGATCGCGAGTAGGTAACTCTAGTACAAGGCGTCTCTGCGACAGGGCGCGTTATCCCGCCCTTCCTCATCTTTGCAGGGAAGGTCCTTATTACCTCCTAGTTCGCAGATCTACCTCGCGATTAGATTATTACTGTCTCTCCTACTAGCTAGATTAACAACGACCTCGCGCTTGCGTAGCTTAAGCACTTTAATGCACATATAAAGGCGTCCTCTATTAGGGCATATAGGCTGCTTATTATCGACGGCTATAAGAGCCACTGCTTAGTAGATTTCCAGGACTACTGCAAGGAGAACAAGATTATCGCTCTCTGCATACCATCTCACTCATCGCACCTCCTGCAGCCTCTTAACGTTGTCCCCCACTCGCTGTTAAAGCGCTACTACAGTAATAAGATCTCGCTCTTGGCACGCAGCCGCATCTACTATGTTAACAAGGAAACCTTCCTACCAGCCTTTAAAGAAGCTTATAAGAAGACGTTTACACTAGAGAACGTTCGCGCAGGCTTTCGAGGTGCTAGACTAGTCCCATATAACCCGGAGGCTGTGTTATTAAAGCGTAAGACTCGCAAAAGGCGGTACGTACGCGCAGAGGAGACTCTAATAGTTAGTGAGGTATCTGACTTAATTGCTAAAATAGACGGTAGTAGGCGTAAGGACAGCGAGACGCCTGCGAAGAGGGTGCGCGCAGAGAGGCGCTGCGGCCGTTGCAGCGAGGTTGGGCACAACTCCCGCACCTGCAGGGTAGAAATAGTAGATGTAGATAATAGCGACGCTTCTAAATAATACTGTAGTATTGCGTACAATATAGTAATCTGTTGTAGTGTTGTGCTGCGTTGCTACGCGTGCGCTGCACTAGTGTTAGGGTGGCCACTCGCTTGGGGTGGCCGCTCGCTTATGAACCACGTTATATGCTAATGCCAAAAAAATAATTGAGAAAGTCATGATACCTTGAGAGTCTCCAGTACCACGAAACACCACAAAATAAACACCAACGATTACATGTTCACGCACCTCTTGCAATAGCTATTATTCAACCTACTAATCCCATCTCTCTGTGGATCTTCCACTTGTTCCGTCTCTCGGCTGTCCATCCACTTCATGAAGGGCATTAATTCCCAGTATCTCGCTCGTTGCACGCCCATCAAGTTCGCTCCGGTGATTCCTATCCAGTTCGGGCCTTGTGTCAGCAGCCAATTCATGCTTTGAGTACGCCTCAACCTCGGTCTCGTATATCTTCACATCGTTGCTGTGCAGCTCTGCTGTTCCAGACTCGGTCTCGGTGGCTTCCTTTGAAGGTAATTTCCGTTTTCTTTTAGCGAGCCATACGGCGAGAACAATAGCGATGAGAATACCCATAGCGATGCCGACCCCAATTCCGGCTTTGCCGCCAGTCGAAAGGCCGCGAGAAGACGCTTTCCCGTTACCTGGAGGATTGGCTGAAACTATGGTACTCGTTGACAGAGGTGTGGATACCGTACTGTCTCCACTTATCGTAGCTGTGGACACATTGGAACTGCCTGTCGTAGGATTGACCGTAGGACTCGGAGCAACTTCACCAGTTTGTGCCGCCGTAGCTTTTGTGGCATTTCCCGCAATGCCCGTCATTGAAAATGGATTGTCCACTGAACCAAGCTGCGCTCGTATGGTGTAGCTCTCATCCTTCATCAAACAACTTGTAACACCGTCGCGGAACCACTGCGGTAGCTGTGTCCACACCTGATTCGCACACGCCGCCTGCTCGTCGAAACAAGGTAGGTCGTTGGCATAGTAAGAACATTCGCACGGCCCAGGCCAAATGGTGTTTGCGGTTACGAAACTGGTGCATTCAGTACGGATACTGTCCCAACGCTGTGCACATGAGCCCATTGTGGCTTCGACAGCGTTGCATGCCACATTGGTGTATGTCTCCGCCATCGAGATGGAGAAGTAAAGAATGAAGCATGATGAGCGGAGGAGTATCGTTTGATGACTGAAAGCAAGCATTATGGGCCACTGATCACAGTGTAGGTATAGAAGAATTCTTTGGAATTAGTCGAGAACAATATAAAAAGTTTTGGGGCTCCGCGAAAACATGCCAGCCACACCAAGATATGGTGTTCATCCTTATCAGATTCGAAGCCGAAGGATTATCATCTAGATGCGTCTTTCGCCAATTCCTACCATCTCCGGCGAGCAGCCATACCACGATTATAGATCGGCCACGAATGGGAAACCGTTTCTCTAGGGCTAGTGAGCGTTGGAGAGTTAGAACCTATCAGCTCCACATGCTCTAGGCAGTCAGCGGAAGCTTTCCATTATGATACGGCGAATGATTGAAACATGGCGTTCTTGGCGAATGCAGTCCTGCTCGTCGATTTCGTTAGTAGCAAAAGCAATGCAGCTACGCCTGCTCAGCCTTGCCGGTCTCGATTCCCACCCTGACCTTTGCAGCAACGCGATAGCAAGGATGCTAGATACGCTGTCGGTGAACACTATCATGGTGAACAACAACCTATTTTCCATAGTATTCTTCGATAGTTGAAGTACGACAATACTCCAGCAGAGAGAACACATCATGCTGTCTGTTCGACGTCACCGCGGCGCCAGCCTTGCCCGAATAGACATCTACCACCCAGATATTGTAGAGTTGAAGGATGATTAGTACACATCAAAGCGGAACCTGAAGGTATGAGCCATCCAATATCTTTGGAGTCGTTGCCGTAGAGCATGGCGGAACCCCTTAGAATACTTTTTACGAGGTACATGCTGTATCATCATGTAATTGTGCGGAAATAAGTTCAGACCCATTGGTTCACCCTTAGATCTACCAGAAACGTGAGCCTCCCACTACCAAAGAACAGTACCCTCGAAAATATCACAAGCAGGAGGTAGAGAAGACTTTAACATTCCAATACTGTCGAATTTTCACGTCTTACTATAGTTTATCTACTCTGCTATGGGCAATAGTTCTCGTGTAAGGTTGCAATGCTCTTTTTCGTGATCACGCCATTGAAGCTTCGACCTTCGTTTTATGCTGCTACTCTACAATCTCGGCTGCTGGCATCGCTGCCCACCGTATTGAAGATAACCCGCTCTTTGGCCACATTGGCGGTGACGACTCGGCTATGTATGGCCATAATGGGCGGATGATGACAGAACCTCTAGGTATGAATGTAGAGGGTTTCGTGTTTGCCGACTCGGATATGGATGAGTTGGTTAGTATAAGACGTTACGCGCATCCCGTGGGCTATTACTCCCGATCCGACTTGCTTTGATTGGGCGCGGATACAAGGGCAAAGAAGCATGTTAGGAAAGAAGACGATAATGGTAGTGCAGGTAGAGGGAAAAAGGTAAAGATGGCGACGGAGGAAGATAAGGGGAACTGCGAGGTGTGGAGAAGTGGGTTCGTGTGGAAAACGGGAAGGTTTAAAGTAGGTCTCTGAGCGGCAATTAACGGGAAGAGTACGTTTTCGCGTTTATGCTCGCCGTGTTCATGTAAGATCTAGTGAATGTCTTCAAGGTCTAAGAAATCTCTTAGTATTGGATGGTGAAACCCTGCACAGCTGACGAAGATAGCTACTCGCCGCACGCGTCTACGCATCTCGTACATTTTCGATAAGCTATTCATTAACATTACAAGCTACAAGTAATTATGCATCAGTAGCGCGCACCCAAAGATCCTGTTAGATGTACAGAGGTCCGTACCCAGTGCCGTCACTTCTCTCAATATCTGCCAACATAGGCTTCTCATACTGCACTCCATTCTCTGCTTTTCCCTCTGTGACTGGCAACGGCATTTGCCTCCAGATATCTTGTATCCTCTTCGCACTCTCTAAGAAGCGGTCTTGCAGGGCCGTGTACCCAGGTACGGTAAGCTGCCCGTCTCGCTTTTTGAACTTTCCATCGATCATGACATGCTTGATGTCTCCTACATTTGCGTGTAACATGATAGCAGCGACTGGATCGGTCCAGCCAAGTACACTAGGAGCGCGGCCGTTCCATACTAATAGGTCTGCTTTGGCTCCTGTGGCTAGAATACCAACATCTGACCGTCGCAATGCGAGCGCTCCACCGCGAGTCGCTAGAAGGAAAGCCTGGTTGACAGACATGGGGTTCTCAGCGGGAAGATGGCGTCGATCCACGACTTCGCGGTAGAAAATCTTCCTGACACTCTGGAGCCACAACCGTGCCTGCGTCAATATATCCGACGAGAATGTAAAATGCGTGTCAATGCCTAAAGCCTCCTGATCCAAGATCAGATGGCTGTTCGGATGCAGGTGACCGTAGTGCATCTCCGACTCCGGAGTCGTAGAGATGTAGTGGTTGTACTGACGCAGCAGTTGCGCGTCTGTTGCGCTGTGATAGCTGGCATGTGCGAAGACGATGGGAATAGATTGGTTGAGGAAGTCGAATTCGTCCAAGACTTCGGGGAAGTTTGGAGCACCATAGACGCCGCCGTTCGCGTGGGTGGTAACTACGGATACGTTCTTCTCACTGTAACGAATTAGTCTTGTGCCTGATTTTTAGGGTCGCATACTAACATTGCTAAGTCCAGGATGGTGCGCGTTTGGTTCCTGTCGGAGCTGGAGAAGCCATCGTATGAGATACCCAGATTGGTAGGCGAGCTGTCAAAGCGCGCATCATTGACTAGATCCCGGAAGAGCTCAATCTGCCTGTCGACTGTAAAGTTTGCATAGTCTTGGAAGTAGTACGCCCATTCAGTCCTAACACCGCTTTCAAGGGTCGCATTTAGCGCTGCCATAGCGTGCTCTGCGGACCATGTGCAGTGCGGGAAGTCCAAGATGGTGGTAACACCGCCGTTGAGGGCTTCGTACAGACCAACGAGCTGGCCAATGTACACATCCTCACGCGTAAACTGCGTGTTGGCAGGCGAGTCGGTACCGTAGCGTTCGAAGTATCGCATCAGAGTGACGTTGGACCCCAAAGTCTTAAAGGCTGTTTGCCAGCTATGCCGATGGGTATCGATGAACCCTGTGGAGATGATGTCGTTGGTAGCATCGACGACGTCCAGTTCGTCAGGCAGAGTACCATTGTATGATCCAGAAAAAACAGCCGTTATAGTGTCATTCTCGACCAACACTGATCCATTTCGGATAACATCGAGGTAGTTGGCAGAATGGTCCCAGCCTATTACTGTTCCACCTGTAAAGAGCGTTGCCGCTCTACCGAGCGAGACGCACGATGCAAGCACAAGAAGAGGAATCCGCAATGCACCACCACAGAGCATCTTGGGTGAATTTTCTTGAATAGGACTTGGTCATGCCGTTCAAGCTGGACCGCACAACTTATACTTCATCATTTCTGCCATCCGATCCACCAAACATTCGATCATGTCGCATACGCCGACCCTTGGCCGACGTGTAAAAAACGTTTCGTGAAAACATCACTCGTCGACAGTCGATGACGTCCAGCCAAGAACAAGCCAGGGAAAAGCTTTTGTAGGAGAATCTTCACGATGGTCCTCTCGGCAGAAACGGAACAGAATCGCTTAGGTAGCCCGGAAGCACTGGCTGGTGGAGTTGCGACCATCTTCCAGTAATCTCCGCTTAAGCCACATAGCGGCCAGACTTCTCTAGCGCAAAGGTCACATGCATCATGCACAGGCCCTTCTCCTGTGTGGTTAAATACCGCCTTTCCCTCGTGTTTTATTCTGCATACTTACCTTCTTGCGATGACCCAGCTCAAAGATTGGGTTCATCTAACAGTCTCGTCTGCATTGCACAGCGCGGTATGGGACTGTTACGAGCTTCCTTCGGGGATCTCGGCGGGGCAATTTTTGCTGGTCTGCTTTCGAGCTTTTCATTGATTGCATCACCTTGGTGGTGGATTGAGGAAGAGAGTTGTAGCGTTGAGGTAGTAAGCCGCTGCATTGCGAGGTTCGCGCACACGATAGCCAGCCCAATAAAATTTCATCAATTGCGATCCGTAGCAAAGAGCCGCATGGTACACGCAATACTTCCACAGGAGCCTCATTCTCAGCATTAACAATTTTCCGTAATAGTGGGTCACTGAGTGTCCGAATATTGCGATAGGACTTCTCCACGGCCTGAACACGGCCCTATAGTTCAGCCTCGTCACGCCGTATGATTAAGTACTTGGCTTCTCTACTGCTATTCCCAGGATGGACGCGATTCCGAATGCCATAATTCATTGTACGGCCCATACCAGTGAGTTACCAGTCGGTACGGTACCGGGTGCCCAGCAACGTGCATGAATTCATATGGTGTTGCATAGGTCGGCCCTATTCTTCGGGGCTGCCACATCAAGATCCCGCAAGCTTTACCATCTTTCTGTAGTCGACAGAGCCTTGACGAACGAAAAAAGAAAAGAAAAGGCTTGTTAGATACGCGATGTATTACATGTTAAATGCAGGTAGGATAGACAAAGCATTCGGAAGCCCGTGAGAGCGACTTTCTGTGAATGTAGGCTCATGTACCTGCGGATGCCTCGGCGGAGCACCAAACACGCTAGTAGCCATCACCTGTACTGCACAACCCGTGCATCGACATCCTTCGGTTCATACTTAGACCAATCAAAATCTTTCGACGCTGTGATTGAACTTATAGTCTGTATAAAATCTTGGAAGGCTTCCAAGATGATCTCTCAGGATGTGCAGAAAACAGGGCGACGTAAATGTGAGGGGCAGTACCCGACATCGACACCGAATCCCAGTCACCCCCGCACACGGGCTCGCCCATTGCGGCACTGCCGGTGCCGCACATGATGCACTAGTATATAGATGTAAAAGAGGCACCATGCTAGATTCTCTCCATCATGACATGTAATAAGTAAAGCTCTTGTTCAAATACGTACTGTTGTAATACTCAATCATGTCACTGTCCAGTGAAGTCATCCAAAACCTCAAAAAGTCCGTCGACGCAGCCTGCGCCGACCCCAAAACCTCAATCCCAGGAACCAGCGTCGTAGTCGTAGGAAAAGATGGAAAAGAACTCTTTGCGCATGCCGCTGGGAAAAGAGGTGTTGCAAGCAGCGAGAACATGACGCTTGACAGCGTATTTTGGATCGCATCTTGCACCAAAATGATCGCTGGGCTTGCTTGCATGCAGCTTGTTGAGCAAGGAAAGCTGCATCTGGATGATGGAGAGGAGATGGAGCAGTTGGTTCCCGAGTTGAAGGAGATAAAGGTACTGCAGAAGAATGGCAGTTTGGTTGAGAAGAAGAGGAAGATCACGCTGAGGATGCTTTTGTCACATACTGGTACAAGTGACCCTTACGAGCTTGAAGTGTCCTTGCTGACCACAGAGAACAGCTGGCTTTGGATACTCTTTCTTCAACGAAGCTCTGCGCGACTTTTCAGGTGGCTTTGACGAGTTCTCTGGGGATGTCAAAGACATCCGTCAGCCATTAACCTTTCAACCTGGAGAGGGATGGCAATACGGGGTGAACATCGACTTTGCCGGTCTGGCTCTCGAGCGTAAGACCGGCATGTCTCTCAACGATTACTGCCACAAGAACATTTTCGAGCCGCTAGGATTAAAGAACATTACCATGTTTCCTACCGAAGATATGAAGAAGCGGTTAGCTCATATGCACCAGCGAAACCAAAATGGCACATTGGTCGAACGCAACCATCTCATGCTCAAGGTCTTGGGAGCTAAGAGCGATGAAATCGATGACATACTGAACAGCGGAGGTGCAGGTGCTTTCGCAATACCATCAGACTATGCGCGTAAGTTGCAAACATACCCTTCATACTACAGTAGGCTAACGGCGACCAGAAATCATCGCAACCCTTCTCAACGACGGCAAATCGCCCAAAACTGGCGCCCAGCTGCTTAAAACAGAGACAGTAGACCTCATGTTCACGAACCAGATCTCACAATTCCCCGACTTCGGACGCCAGGGAATTCCTGCCGCCAAACCCGATCTCACAAACCCTATCTCCGACGTATATCCAGTAGAAGGTAATCCACCTCAAGGGTGGGGTCTGACATTCATGCTATCCAATGGAGGTCCGACTGGCCGGTCCAAGAGTACTGGGTTCTGGGCCGGCCTACCAAATTGCTGGTGGTGGTGTGACAGAGAGAAGGGAGTCGGCGGAATCGTATGCTGTCAGATCCTGCCGTTTGGCGATCCTAAGGTGCTTGGGTTGTGGTTCGACGTTGAGACGCAGATCTACAAAGCCTTGGGAGCTTGATCAGATGTCATGTTGGGTGGCTTTGCAGCTTTTGCCTATGAAGTCGGTCCGTTTTGTTGTGTCCGATTCGGTCGGAGGGACATGATCGTCAATGTTCTGATGTCCAATCTCGCATCGAGTTGCATGATCATAAGTAACCGCTTACCTTTCTCACTTGATATACTCTTTATGGAGCGTCGAAACCATAATGTTGAGTCTAAGGAAGCCTAAATCGGTTCGTGAACATAGTGCGTATCGTACCTCCACATGCTGTTAGCGTCACTCGTCATCTACAGACTACAGCGTTGTCCGTGGGTAACAGATAAGCCACGAACGCACACGATAGGAAGACGTGCGAAGAACGTGCGATTTGAGCTGATACCCGGATTGCTTTTTGCGGCGGTGAAGACGTCGGAACCATCCACTGCTTTGCGTGTGGGCCGATCCGATGCTCGTTTCATACAAGTTGCATTGAAGAAGGTTTCGGAACAGTCCGATCGCCAGCCAAGGGGCCAATTATAAGATGATAGGCTGCAAGCTGAGAGAAGTAGCGCCTAGGTCAGACCGAGAGTCCGGTACAAACCATCCCGTGAGCTATCGGGAGAACGTTACGACAGAACATCGAGGGCTACTTTCGGTGAGAATGAAGCGGTTGCCAACAAGGAACACATGTTTGAAATGCATACGATCGACGGAACCAGCCGTGCAGCATCCTTAATCGTCCGTTGTGAGCCGGACTGAAGCTTGCGTTGAGCATCATTATGCCCTGCCACGCGTTAGCCTTCCCCGCATTTCTGTGTTGGGATGTGGGCCCTAGCCGGCAACGCGGGGTGTGCATATCAGCACCGCACTTGTCTCTTTACATCAAGCATACCTCTCGTGTCTTTCCCTCTTTTTGCCATTCAATCCGAGCAGTAGCCATGAATTTCGTGGACGTGCAACCTAAGTCGTTCCTCGATTATGCCTGGACGTCGCCATCTTCGGCGGCGATGGCGGCCACCAAACCCTCCAAGACAAGTCGGAAACAGAACAGGTGCTGCGATCAATGTCGCAAAGGGAAGAGGGCGTGCGATGCGGCGATCCTGGAGGATACTCTTTTAGAAACGAGTAAATCTGGAACGACCCCTACGGTGTTCCATTATAGTGGTGAGCCACGCCCTTGTCGATGGTAGCTCAGACGTTGGCTAACCTGTCAGACGTTTACGGGCCACTAGCTTCGTGTGGCAACTGTGAGAAGACGAAGAAGAGCTGCACTTTCGAGTGGCTGCGCTCACAACGCGTATCGCAAGCTTCGCAACCACCACAAACAGCTGCGCCACCAGCAAAGAGGCGCCGCACGCGAAGCAATTCCACCAGTCGAGCACAGAAACCAAATGTATCCTGCCGATCTACAGCAACAGTCAAACCAGAACAGAGTCGACATGCGAACAACGATGATCTTCTGTCCCCCACACCACCCGTTGAACTGGGCGTAACGTTTGGAGATTTTCCGTGCGGTTCTTCCATGTTTACCACAGATCCCACAATCGCCCTGTTCCATGAGCCGTCGCAAACATTCGAGAAAGACGAAGCGAGGGACGAATCGGGACTAACCGGCGGGGTTGCCGAAGATAATTGGACTCTACTCGACTGCGACTCCGGTAGAGGCTCATCTCTAAAAACAACCTCAGAGATTAGCGATGACAAGCTCGAACGCGACAGTCCTTCAGATTATCAAGACACAAGTAGCACAAGCATAAGTAATCCACCTTCTAGCATATCAGAAGGAACGGTTGCACGTACCAGTCAAAAAAGGCGTCGCTCCAGCTCCTCGGCATCAATCTCAAACGGTGCGCATTCTTATCCAGTAATATCATATGCCAGCGATATCCTTTCATCGAGCAACAATGCGTATCTGACTGAAAGCTTGCTGAGGATCTATCATGATAGTTTCGAAAACGCACTTGCATGCTGGGTAACAGAAAGAACCTGTCCCTACAGTGCAAAATCAGATACTCTGCTAGCCACGAACGCTAGACCCGATTGGAATCGAATCTATCACCGAGTGGTTCGCCTCGATAGACTAGCATCCACCATCAGAGGACGCAAGCTGACTCAGACGGAAGACCGCGCAGCGTCCAGAGCCTTAGACCTGGCGGTCTTCTCCTTCGCTTCACAATGGGCGCAGTCCAGCACCAGAAGCAGAACAAAGTATCCGTTCCATAGCACTTCGACCGATGGTGGTAGCAGCGTTTTCGATAGCGTGGAGGACGACAGTGTACCGGCTGGCATTGACTTCGATCGCACGTTGCAGATATCAGCATGGCACGAGGCCCGCAACGCATTGCAGAAAGCTGGCGAGGTGGAATCTTTCCGGGTAGTACTCGCACAAATCATCTTCGCGTTGACACAAAGACCGGTTGAGACAGTCGACGCAACTCAGGGTGTGCAGAACTCTATTTCGAAGACTGAAGACATAGAGATGGGCGCTTACGCGGAAGTTTCAAGAGAAGGTACACCCATGCTTGCAACCGACCAGGATATGGACGACTGTGCAGACCTGATGTCGAAACTGGATCTCGCAATCGAGGCTGACGGGCCACCTGTACATCTCGAATCAGGTCTTCGACTCATTCATTCTTTGAGATCCCGTATGACCATGTCTAGAGAAGCGCGACGTACAAACTCAGCACGGCAACGACGCTTGCCAGTTGTGCGACTTGAAGACGCGGATCGTGCAACAGTGGACCTTTTGTTCTGGTTGGGCGTTATGTTTGATACGCTGTCAGCAGCGATGCACAAACGACCATTGGTGGTATCGGATGAGGACAGCGATGTAGTGCTCAGCGAAAGCATGCAGATTGAGCACTCGGTCCAACAAGCAGTAACACCTTCTTCGACAGACGAAGGCGACGGACTCTGGGATGAGTATTTGTTCGCTCGGCAACAACGGAACTCGGAGTATGTACCCACGAGATGGCCATGCTCATTCGATGAAGCCGCAACCGCGCTGTGTGATGCAGCTCCTGTCAAGGTGTTGCTATTTAGGAGGGTTTGCAGGATCCAGACACTCCTCACAAGAAACACACGAGGCGCTAAAGTTGAAGAGGCTGTTAGTTCCGCGATGGACGTGTGTAACCACTGGGATGCGCTGTACGCACCTTTTATCCGAGACTGCATTCAGAACCACGATCGCCTTCCACCGCGTGTGCAGTCGTGGTACGTGTGCGTTACCGGCCATTGGCACCTGGCGACGCTTCTCCTTGCGGACTTGATGGAAGTGGTAGATGAATCAGAGCTTGGACTTGAAGAAGCGACACAGCAACGAAATTTGACCGCCTTCATCGCGAAGTTCCGTGAGAACAACTGTCGGGTGCTATCAGACCTGGCGAGCTGCGCGTGCCCGCGAGAAGACGCATCATTCCCACAGTCCCGGGAATTTCATTTCGCAGTGAACGAAGGCGCACTATTAACGGAGCCGTGGACTGTAGTGTTGATTCGCGCATTCGCCAAGGCGGGTGTTCTATTGCTGGAATCAGACACACTATTACCGTTTGATCTAGATCGGGAGGACGCGTTTCAACGAGCTGATGCTTGTATTAAGGCGTTATGGTTTTTAGGTAGAAAATCTGACATGGCTCTTTCGGCGGCGAATATTTTGGGAGAGGCGTTGAAGCAGCGACGAAAAAGTGCGCAGGACAGGGTTAGCGACATGAGCGTCTTCTTAGAGAGTGAGCTGTGGCATGATTTGGAAGGGGCCTTCGAGGTGGACTGTGAACTATAGCCGGCCACTATGTATTATTTTTGTGACATAATGCGCAATTCGACAAGGTGCAGTGAAGAGGCTGGCGGGGTGTTGTCAAGTGATGTTGTCAAGTGATGTTGTCAAGTGATGTTGTCAAGTGATGAGCACTGAGATGGGTAGGGCGCTCGGGCTGGAGCGGCAAACCACGTGGTTTCGCGTTTGTAGGAACTTGGAAGGAGCGATGGGAGATTGTGCGACAGTCAAGTGCAGTATATCATGTTACGCTTGTTCTGCTGCCGCGACCAGGTTAGCAAAACTTTCTAGTTACGACTTGCCATACAATACACCTGTTCATCTTCGTTGTATATCAGTTGCCCAACCCCTTCCCTCGGTCTGGCCAGTCAGTCGCGCTAAGACGCGTGCAACGGTCGGCTGTTCGAGTTTCCATTTTCCTCACAGCCACGTCATGGGTCTCACGGCGTACGCTCCAAGACCAGATCAGACTTGAGTCTTTACTGATATCACCATAGCTTGTGGGACACAATCAAGAAGCACGAAGAGAGCGTACCGGTTGCGCAGCTCGCTGAAGAACACCATCAGCGTCATGGCAGGCCACTCCGCATTGCTGTTGACGAGGCCGATTGGCGCTTCAACAACCTCACGGTGCAGCAGGTATACACTATACGGGAGAGTGAGTAGTACACGACTCATTTCTTCCCTTGCTGACGCGGCTAGCCTCCAACGAGTACGCTTTCCAAGGCATTGAGAAAGCCATGTTCTACCGCATCTGTCGTCTCCTCACCCTAAACATCCAACTCATATTCGTCTTCGACGGCCCTGGCCGACCCTGGAAGCGAGGCAAAAGAGGAGGAGGACAGATCAACTACAACGAGCGACGCTTGCTCCCAGAGATGCTTCAATGTTTTGGGATCCCATATCACGAAGCTCCGGGAGAGGCAGAGGCAGAGTGTGCTCGTCTGCAGATTCTGGGTCTGGTTGACGCTGTTTGGTCACAAGATTCCGACAGTCTCATGTTTGGCTGCACTCTCTGGTTACGAGACCATCGCATCGCGAAAGAAATGGCAGTACGGACAGGTCTAAAGAGAATACCAAGAAGAATGGGAAATACGTCAACATCGTACGAGCACACGACCTAAAGGACAAATATGGCTTGGACCGAGAAGGACTAGTGCTGTTTGCGATGCTCGTGGGCGGCGATTACGACGTGAAAGGTCTACCCCAGTGTGGGCCATCTCTAGCCATGCAGGCAGTCAAGCAAGGGCTTGGCCAACGACTAGTTGCGTGTCGAGATCAAAGGGAATGTGACCTTTGGACTGTAGAGCTGGCCATGTTCCTTGAGAAGAGTGCTCGTGGGCGCAGCATCAACATACCGCTAGGCTTTCCGGGCTTCGAAACCCTGCAGAAGTACTGCAAACCAAAAGTTACCAGCGACGAGGATCTACTCAATAAGTCATGGCTCAATCTTGACTACGTTCGCCCCATCGAGGAGCTTAAGCTGCTTAAACTCACGAGCGAGCGCTTCAATATATGGGGACGTCTATATATGAACTGGGTCGGACCTGTGCTGTTGACGCGAAACCTAACCACAAGAGATCCGTCTTTACCACTAGGGCTGGTACATGACATCAAGCTTGTCAAGCCACGAGTGAAGAAGACCGACAATGAGCAACCAACGCGTACACTCGAACGCAAGCTGACCTTTTCTCCCTTTGGCGTCACGACTCTGCGCCAAGCTGACTTTGAGGGCGATAGACTGGGGCACTGGAACAGAGACAAGGAGACATTGTTTGACCCAGAGCATCGTGTGGAAGTTGAATTCCCCGAGTACTGGCTGCGCAGAGTCCTTCCGCCACACATGCTAGACCCACCTTCTCCAGTACCAAAGCGTACGTCTAAACGCAAGCGACTGACAGATGATGTTGAGGAAGAAGTCGACGTGTCAAGCACAGCTAAGCGGAAACGCAAGAACAAAAGAGACGATACCTCCGCCACTATAGCTTCACAAGATGCATCCCCGAGGAAGTCAAGAGGGCCGGCCTTGATTGCCAGGTCTCGAAACATGCCCATGACGCCGACTGCACAGAAGCTCATCGAATGCATCAATTTCTCTGATTCTGAAGATGAAGATGGACTCTCTTTACCCATCAACGCTCGCCCTAAAGAACTTGCACTGAATCGGTCACAAGCGTCTCATATCGTTGATCTTGGTTCACCTGAGCTACCAGGTCAGGGAAGCGGTTCATTTGTCTCTGATTCATTTCGAGGCCATACAGCAAACGCGTGGCCATTGGACATCTCAGACGAAGAAGACGAAGAAGACGAAGAACTGCAGTTAGCTTTGCGGCTAAGCATGCAAGACCAAGGTGTTATGCTTGCCCCAACACAAAGCTCTTCTAGATTGCCGTCATCGAAAGGGGGCAGGTATGACAGCATTTTCGCCATGAGGGAAGCAGGAAGGGATGTACAAGGCACCTCTGTGCCTGCCTGGTCGCTTGATCAAACAACCAGTGCCGCCATACCCTCTAGATCCTCTCAAACTCCTCGTCGACGAGTAGAGAGTAGTTCATCACGCATGTCGGACATGGCGATGAGGGGTGTTCACGCAGGCCTCATAGGAAGAGGGTCAGTCCACATACCCGACTGGTCGCATCCTTCCCCGTCCGCAGCTGTGCTGTCAAAGCCCACGATATTATCTTCCGGATCTAGCACCGAAGACCGTGTCCAAGCACATCCTGTACCTTCTCCCGCTGAGATTCGCGCTGCTCGGCTTCGACACTTCGAAGCTTCGTCTCCTTGCCTTCTTCAGGACGCAAATAAACACCGTCTTTCACCGCCTGCTGCCATGACAGACAAGCGATCGTCAACTACTTGTCAGGTACCAGTGGGTGTCGAGTGTATCGACCTGACAGATGATTAAGCAGCAGGTACTACTGATATCTAACATCTATATGCACAGTATATTCACTACATTTGCTATCGGTACTACAACTCATCAGTCTATCTTGAGCTTCACAGGGTGGTACTAGGAGGTGAAAGCCTGTGGCGGCTCTACTTCGTTGGCACCCTTACGACGCAGCTCATGAGCATACTCACCATCAGCAACAACTCAGACCATGGAGGATAAGGGACTATCCGCCTAGCACTTCGAATGCCCTGGCACAATGTAGGAGCTATGGTTCATGGCTTCCCCATCGTTATGATGACTCTTGCTCGTCGCTTCCATTACCAATTGGTGAGACCCAAGGAGGGAGTACCCAAAGATCTTTCGTACATGAAGCGACAAAAACCGGTGGACCTCGTAACACTACAGCCAAGGTTCGACGATCTGAAGTCCCTTGCGCGCTCCGACGCACCACCCGCTAAGCACAAAGATGTTCACGAGGTGCATCCACTTCTCTGCGATCGGATCGAGGATCTCGAGAATAACATGGGTGACGAATATGGCGGCTACAGCAACTGGGAGAGCCTGACACAGACGTTGATGTGCAGACTCGTTCAAGAAGAGATGTCTGGGGCTAACAGGTGTGATCCAGAGTCATTGCTGGGCGAATGTGGAGCGTGTGATCGAGGCGGTGTTTGCCTAGCAAGCATACTGCTGCCGCGTATCGGACAGGTAAACATCAGTGCTGCAGCGGTGGAGGAAGGTGTTCAGGCATACCGGATAGGCTAGAGGGAGCCTAATGATGCAAGTTCACATGTGCGTACAATGTCGAATGACCAGAGACCTACAGCCGCCTACGGGAAGAGTTTTTACAATGTACAGAGAAATGACATGCTCGCATTTAGCATCTGTGTATTTTGATCCAAATTCCATTCGGTTCAGCATACCATCTATGATATCTGTGACAGTAACATGTGACGATAGCTCTTGCGAATGCAAGTATTGCCCAGCCCATTTGTGAAGCGATTGCATTTTGACTGGGGGCATCGTGCGAATCCGCAGTCTCTGCACGAACAGGCCTGAGTTCTAATACCTCTTCCACATCGCGTTCTCCTGCGCGAAACAGCGTGGCAAAAGTATTCGTAATGCTAGGTATGCGCAGCTCGACACCACGGTGCGTGACTTATAATGGCAATGGTAGTAGGCTGTGAAATCAGCGTAAACAGCTTTCGCGGACCATCTGGGCAGCTCTAGCCAGAGTATGGATACGAGACACTCGCTGCCCATGCCTTGTCTCTCCAAGCGGATGCAAAGTCGTGTGCCGGTGTTCATGGCTGCAATGCAGCTTGCTCCCTCTCCTCATCGCGGCAGTCCATTCCCGGCAGCACCGCCTCCGCCACTACCTCCACTCCCAGAACTCTCACTGCTCCCATTCCCCGCCCTAACGCCCGTCCTCGCCCCCGGCTGCCTCGCCAACGCCAGTCTAATCGGCTCTTCTCTTCCCTGTCCAACGATCCCTCCACCACGTGCGACGGCACTTCCGCTCCCGCTCCCGCTCCCGCTCCCACTGCCCATGGGTCCCCGCCTCAACAGTTCCTCAAGACCTAGGTCCCGCCATGTTGGTTCCTTCTTTGTTTGCGTCGCTCGCTGTATTCCAAATGCCGCGTGCTGGTCTGGTACGACATCGTCTTCGTCTTCGGGGTTTACGGGCTGGAGGTGTGGGGGGATGTAGATGTCTTCAGGAGTGAGTTGTGACGAGGTGAGATTGGTGAATTGCTCGAGGAGGTCGGCGTGGTGCGAAGAGTGCATGTGCAGGTAGGTTGCTGTTGAGTCGCGTGTCTGTGGGAGGTTATCTTAGAGGTTGAATTCTAGGCGACAGGATGATGATTTACCATCTTGGGGGAAGAGATTTGGTTGCTAGAAGCTGTGTGTGAAGTATTCGTGGTATCAATATCAAGCTTTGTGGTTGTGTTGTTGTGTCACTCAGGTCAATGTTTGAGAGCGCGAACGCGGAATGACGCCGCGTTAGGACTGAATGGCGTGCTAGCCTGATGCGCATGCCGTTAGGTATTACGCATCTACTTTCTCAACATCACATCGTCTCTTCAACCTTCTCTATTCTCTATATCTCTCTCTAAATCTCTTTACTAGCTGTCACGTCCGTATGCTCTGGAACAGATGATTAGGCTGCGCATAGGCCACGTCGTATCCTACCACGCAAAGTCCGATGCGACTAGATAATGACAGTGCTACCAATGTACTAACAGACGTGTCGCCTTGAATAGCAAGACTAGTCACTTCACTTCATGGCATGTAGGAAACTTTCCTCGACTGGCTGCATGATGGTACTAGCAGACTCTCATCTGATATGGAAATTCTCCTCAACAGATCATTTGGCTTTAAGAAATCCATCATCGAGGGTATCATCGTAGCGATCGAAGCGTCCTGGTGCAACAGTTCAAGCGAAGACGGGGCTCTTTTGGACGGCGATGGTCAATCTCACGACACGCGACTTCATGCAGCGACTCGCCTGATTACTTTACCGAGGCTCTTCGAATGTTGATCCGCTATCTCCACAAACTCCACGTTATAGTGCATACGCCATGGACCCAGAGCAGCGATTCCTGCGAACCATATAGCTAGCGCCTGCTCACTGGAAGACCTTCCCCAGCAGATTTTCGTTGAAGTAATACAACACCTTCCGCCTTACGCCCAATTCTCAAGCTGGCACCCCTGAAGCAATCCATTCACAAACATAACCCATTTCCTACGTAATCATCATGGCTGAGGGACATTGCAACTGCGGAAGCATTAAGGTATCTATCCCTGCTCTACCCGAGAAGTCGACCATCTGCTACTGGTATGCATCATCACCATAGTCTCCGTCTGTTCCTCGAACTAAGTCTTCAAGTTCCAACTGCCGGCGCGCAGGATCAAGCATTGGATCTATTGTGTACATTCTCGACAAACCTGACGTCACGATCAATGATCCGAGTGGCAAGCTCAAGAGCTACCATGACAACGGCACGAAGAGCGGAAGTGCGATTACTCGTCAGTTTTGCAGCAACTGCGGATGGTGAGACGATGGGGCATAATGTGTTGAAATGGTCTTGCTAACCGCGGGTCAGTCCGGTTGCGTCTTTACTAGGTGATGACTCGCCAAAGATTGTATTGAAGGGTGGATTGTTCGAGAAGATTCCTGTTCCGGGATACAAGTCTTTTGAGCAGGACGAGCCGAGCTGGATGAAAATCTCTTAAGCCTCTAGAAGGAATGTTACGGAATCAGCTTGCTGGAAGCCATAGATGAATATCAGATGCTTCAAGATGCGTCATCGGAAAGAACACTAGCATCTAGCCCAATGAGATACGCAAAGCCAGGTTTCATACCTCTTTGCACATATCCGCAACAATTTGCTCAACTACCTCCTGCAGCCCAGTTAGCCCCCCCTTCTCTTTCGATAGACTTTCTGCCTGCGTTAGTATTGCTCCAGTCAACGAGATATATCGTATACGATATACCCTCTTTGCCCAGTACTAGATACACGACTTGCGGATCGAAGCCTATACGCTTGTTGGCATTAACGATGAAGCACGAATTGCTTACAGAAACTCAGTAACTGACTTCGTTTTCCATCATGGAGGACAACTAGTGGAGCACAAGATGCTCGTGCAAGTCACTTACTGATTAGCTGGGTTTTCTCCTGGGCCGATATGCTTGTGTCAACGTCCAGTAGCTGAGTAAGATGGGCACGAAGTTGCTCATCCGGCATTGGAGATGTCCTAGCGGCACTCATCTTCTTCCAATCGTGATGAAAAAATTCAAAGAAGATGACGCTTCGGCTATCTTTATATACCAAGCATTGTCTGCTACGTTACGTAGGTAGATGTTAGCAATTTCTTGAGCCTGCTACATCTCAAGGCTGCAATTTGCTTATGAGCAAAACGATAATCATTGTGAGTGTAGGGTTCTCAGGAGGCACCACTCTTGATGTTGCGTTAATCTGCCTTTGCCCATGTATCGTCGTTGACGAGATCACCATCCCCCAAGGTATGTGCTTCGAGCTCTCTCTCTCTCAAGGTGAAAGCGGCGGGAACTATGTCATCGTTCCCCCGTTCTTTCCGCGCATCGCAATATCCCGATATCGTAATCGTGCGACGCGGAGTTCGTGTCGTTGACAAGACTGCGAAGGCGGCGTTCTCACGTCCCACGCACGCCATTCAGCCGGCCCCGAAGCTAGCTCTCCTCCCCACATCAACCATTCTCCCGGCTCATCAATTCCATCAAACAACCGTAACAGCGCCCAAACGTCACTGGCTCCATGCATTCCCAAGACAATCTAGATGCAGGTGCAACGCATCTGCCAAGCATCCAGCTTGTTTCAGTAACAGGGATTCTGGAGATCCTTCCATCGTGAAACGTGGCTTCCAATTTCGCGCGAGTAATTCCTCCGACCTCGAGGATGTTGAAAGTCTGGCTTCTTTGCTTTCCTTTCTTCTTTGGAATTGTTCGGAGAAGGAAGATAACATATTGAGGAGCTTGGAAAATGGTTACAGCAACATGGCTGCGGCGACGGCATCTACCCACTTATTTCGCTGTCTCAACTGCACTCCTATGCGCCTCGACGGCTAGGGCGGAATTATTCTACACAGCGCGCAGTCCTGCGATCCAAGATGGGCTTATCAACAGGCCCTCAACGACTTGTCCGGTCGCTCAGGATGGCGTAACTACCGACACTTTTCCATGGACGCATAATCCTACGTGTGTGGACGTTGTGATGCCAAATGAGGGAGATGAAGCCACGGAAGCAAACGGCCATCAAACATTCTGCGCGTACACCAATGCGGATTACAACAACGGTCGCGGAGTCAGCTTCGTAGTTACGCCAGAGGTCGCAGCTAGTGTCACGATGGAGACATTTGGTATGAGTATCGGTGGTATGGAGGGCGTGGTGGGTGAAGAGATGGGTATGTGGGAGGTTAAGTACGCGGGCGAGAAGGGAAAAGGGTTGTTCGCGAAGAAAGACATTGCTGGAATATTGCCGGGTGAGAGTTTGATTGTGCAGACACCAGTGCTGTTTGTCGCTAGACAGCTGCCAGAAACAGAGGAAAGGCCACAGCACGTGTTGAAGCAGGCAGTCGAGCAGTTGCCAACGAAAACTAGAGAGATGGTCAAGAAATTAGATGTCAATGTGGATGGCACTGTCGAGGATATTGTCTTGACGAACGGCATTAGAGTGAAGTGGCCGTGGGTCGACGAGGTTCCAGAGCTGTTAGCAGTTATTCCGGAGGCTGCTGTAAGTCTGACTGTTCAGTCTCCAATCAGACTTTCTTCTAACTTCAATACAGCGTATCAACCACGCATGCCGGCCAAACACCTTATGGCGCTTCGACGATTACACACTCTCATTCGAAGTCTTTGCGCTCAGAGACATCAAGCCCGGTGAAGAGATCACACGAAGTTGTAAGTCATCATCTACCGATACGAGCCCTAAAGCAAGAATTAACCTCTATACAGATGGCTACGAAAGACGTCCTCGCCGGCGCCGTGTCAAGACTCTGATGGCCAACTTTGGTTTCCAATGCGCCTGTCCTCTATGCACCGGAGATGATGACGCAGTAATGGCATCCAACGACCGCCTCTCTGAGATCAAAGCCCTGAAATCCGTTTTGCCCACAGACGAAAAAGACTCACCGCAGCTCCTCGGCCTCCTTCCCAAGCTCATTGAGCAGCTGGAAGAAGAGGAGCTCTTGGTTGAGCTACCGCAGTACGAAGAGATTCTAGCATATACGTGGAGTAGTTTTGGTATCGAAGATCGGGCGAAGTATTGGGCAGAAAGGGCACAGAAGCATTGGGCTGTTGTGGCGGGCAAGGAGAGTTGGGAGCAGAGAAGGTGCGGGGAGTTGGCGGAGAATGTCAAGGGACATAGTACTTGGATGACTTGGGAGGGAGATCCTTGGGAGGGTGTTGGGGAGGGTCATCCATGGGACGAGAAGGAGGGGGAGGGGCACGAGCATGGACATGAGCACTAAGCGGCGTTGTGGTTGTTGTGGGAAAGATTAGCAAACTCATATTTAAGACTATACTAGAGTACATACATCACTTCTCGTATTGACGTATATATATCTTCTACCAACCTCGAAACAATCATTAGGCATGTTATCCAAGAGTATTCTTCTTTAAATTCTCCTTCAAACAGAAATCCTTATTTCACTTGTCAAAGAACTTACCCTCCCCATGCGCACGATCGACTCTCCAAATAAGCATCTCGCTTTCCGTCGCGCCCCATCCCTCCTCTTCAGCAGCTTTCTTCACACCACCACCCAACGTTCTCATCACCCCTTCATCCGGCACTTCCGCGAACTCATGCATAGCCAGCCAAGTGGAAGGTTCAGGATGAGGTTCGTCTGTCGTCGGCAACCCTTTGAGAGCACGAGACTGTGCATTGGTCCTTGCGTAAAGGAGCCTGAAGCGCAGCGTACGCATGTACTGTGGTGTGTGTTCGAGAGAAGATATTTGCTATCAACAGTTAACTTCAGTACCAAGATATGTTACATATGCCAACAAGAAGTGTCGTGAGTGATGCATACCTTTTGGAAGAAAGCAGTGACCTCTTCTTCTTCCAACTGCTTCTCCGGTCTAATGCCCGATGTAATCATGTACTTTTGACTCCCTTCTGTCCCCTCTCTCCTCTTCGTCGTCGCACCCACAAAACCCAGGTAACTGACATCCATATCCGCCAAATCGTAAATCACACCACTACCCGGTAGCGCACTACTTCTAAACCCAATTTTCTTGAACTCGTCACCCAACGTAAAGGCCAAGTCCTCCATAGGATAACATGCTAAAAATGGCTTCGGATTCTGTGCATCGCCGACAGAAGAAGACTTGCAGATATCAACGTAGCGAAATGCAGAGTGGATACTAGACGTGGAAACTACTTCGGGGATATGCTCATTGTCGTACCAGCCTAGGAATGTTGGCTCGGTGAGTAGGTCGTGGGCGGAGGGAGATATACGGGAACGGACGAAGAGGATGCCTGGACCGTGGATTGCGGAAGTGGACATATTGTTGTGTTTTGATGGTATATAGTGAGAGATGAGGGTAAGTGGCTTGGTGCTTAAGATGTTGAGTTGGAATGTAGTATGAGAAGCAGTGGAGGACTAGTCAAAGTGAGCTGGTTTTGGGTGTGAATGATGGGAAGAGGCTTGGTGTATAGTGCCACTCCGGCTTTGGAAGAGTCAAACACAAGAGAAGCAGTAAGAAATCGGGGCGTCGGAAATGCATTACCGAATCATGGCTAAGCGTTACCCCGCCTGCATCGATTCGGTATCATTGTTCTGTCCTCGCAATATATGCAGACGATGTCATATCTTGACGTTTGTCACGCCAACTGAAGCTATAGGCAAACAAGCTACCAAGCGTATTCCTTCACGCGCAATGTCCTCAACACATTTCCTTTATATCCGAATGATTGGCCTATCCCATTGCTCATCCAGAAGGTTCTGCGTATCTGCAACATTTCCATAAGAGTCCCTGATGTAGCCACGCTGAAAACGCATATGAAGACATACACGCCAGTATTGGCAAGGAGATGGTGAGCATCCAAAGCTTCCGTAAAGATGCACGCCTTGGCAGCAAACGGCGTTACAGTCTGTGACGATCGGAACTGGTCCGAAGTAACGTCATGCTCCTAGTTCCTGTCGTTTGGCCAAATCTGCCATGTAACTAGCATATTAGGTTGGCGAAGTTGTGTTACAGCACAACTCGGTGGCGTTGGAGTCGTGGTCGTATCTCACAGTTTCGACTTGTCCGTCAAAAGCTTCTCCAGGCCCGTCTTCAACTGGTCACTCATGCCATGTTTTCCAGGTCGTCGACTTTCGCGGTCGACGAAGACGTGGATGAACTCGCCTACGGCCTTGACCTCCTCTTGGCCCCTCTCGAAGACACCAATCTCGTATATTACAGAACTCTTGCCAAGCTTGTTGACTCGCAAGGCGAGGTCTACGACGGCGGGAAACTCGACCGGGGCAAGATAATCACAATGCGAGTGTACGACGAGACCGATCTGTGGTGAGGTGGGTGGATGCAGTGAGCAGTGTTGGATGAGGTACGTGTTGACTACGGAGTCGAATCTACTGATGATTAGCAAACGTAGCTTATGGCACAAGGGAGACACATACAGATAGTAGTAGACGCTGTTGTTCATGTGGTGGTACATGTCGTTGTCGCTCCTTCCTGCTGTCAGTATCAAATAAGCCGCAGAGGCGGAAGACGCACCATCTTGTTCTATACTCGAGTTGAAATTTGTAGTCGCCTCGGTGACGCGATTTCAATGCCTGTAGTGCCATATCCGTTTCTTGTTGTGGTTGATGCTAAGAGAAGACGCGTCTCCGGCGTGAAGATGGCCGGCTAGGTTCCCTGCGTCACACGTCTGCCTCGGCTTGGGAACATTTCTCCCACACGCACCGCAACCCCTCTCCCCCGCGATTCTGGCGCCCTCTCCGCGCATCCTCGCATACCTCGCCTCCAAGGGTCGCTTGCCTGTTCCCAAGACACGCACAGGCTCACCCTCCATGGCCCTAGTGCCTTCTCCCCCGCGCGACAAATATCCGCCCCTGCCAGACGACAAATTTCCCTGGAAGGAGCCCCCAGCCGTCGCAATCACGCCCTGCGACCCATGGCCACCGCCATACTACCTCGAAGATGGCCTACGCAAAGTAAAACCCTATCACTTCACATACAACACATTCTGCAAGGAAAGATGGCGGGGAAGAGAAATTCTCGACATTTTCGCTAGCGAGTTCCGCGACCGGCCAGCCGAGTACTACAAGCAGGCCATAATAGAGGGGCGCGTGGTTCTCAATGGACAGCCAGTACCGAGCACCAAGACCATAGTGAAGAATGGCGATGTCATTTCGCATACCCTCCACCGACACGAGCCTCCGTGTACCGCCCAACCCATCGGTATCGTCCACGAGGATGACAACATGATCGTCATCAACAAGCCCGCGGGCATGCCAGTACATCCCGCCGGTCGCTACAACTTCAACTCTATCATCGAGATTATGAGGGCAGACCGTGGATATGGCTGGAACCCGTTGCCGTGCAACCGGCTGGATAGGTTAACTAGTGGTATCATGTTCATTGGCAAGCACAAGCAGGCAGCAGAGGAATTGAGTGCACAGATCAGGGGGAGGACGGTCAAGAAGGAGTACATCACGCGAGTCGTGGGTGAGTTCCCAGAAGGAGAGATTCTCTGTGAAAAGCCTATTCTGCAGATTAGTCCGAAGCTCGGCCTGAACCGTGTGCGTGCAAACGGCAAGGAAGCAAAGACGGTCTTCAAGAGGCTGGCATACTACCCACCAAAAGACGATGGAAATACAAGCCAAGGGAAAGACGGAGATGCAGGCCCCAATGGCCAGCCATGGAAGAAGCTCCGCGGCTACTCCATCGTGCGTTGCATGCCAGTAACAGGCCGCACCCACCAACTGCGCGTCCATCTCCAGTTCCTCGGCCATCCCATATCAAACGACCCCATATACGCCAACCAGCGCGTTTTTGGCCCCGCCCTCGGCCGCGGTCAATCCGAAGACGAAGACGACGAAGATATCATGTCTCGCCTCTCGCGCATGGGCAAGGAGGAAGTTGCAGACGCAGTCGCATACCACGACGAGATGGTCGATGCCTACAACAAGCGGAAAGCCGAACGTATGACGGGAGAAAAATGCGAGGTTTGCGATACCGACTTGTATAGCGACCCAGGTGTGCATGAGTTGGGTATCTATCTGCATGCACGCAGATACAGGTGTGAAGAAGGGAAGTGGGACTATGAGACTGGCTTGCCCGACTGGGCATTGCCGCCACCTGGATATGAAGGGCCTACTGAAAGTACGGAGGAGTCTGATCCGTTGGCTGTGGATCTGAAAAAGCTGGGTTTGGAGGACCAACCAAACACAGAGGCACATATGAACGGCTCCAAGGAGGCAAATCCAGCAGCTGTATCAGAGGAACCGACTACTGCCAATGCGACCGTTTGAGCATTGAAGCACTGAATCTTGTTGAACAAAAGAGAATTGGAGAAGATAGAAGTTTTGAGATACCCATCAATATATTCTTACTAGTAATATACTGGTTCATCATCAGCCGCGAGGGTTCGGCTTGAAACGGCCGGTTTCACTACTCCCGTACGAGTGGACTTTGTCTTCATCTTCGCTGACTTCGTTTTCTGCCTCGTCATCTTCTTCCTCACTGTCATCCTCGCCCTCATCTGCTCCCTCTACTTCATCCCCATCATCATCACCATCAACACTACTCATCCCAGGCATACCCTCTCTCTCCTTCAATTGCACTCTCAAGCCTTCCAATATAGAACCCAGCCTCGCCTTCAAATCTGGATTCCAAACCTTACTAATTTGACCCTCCATCTCCTGGATCTTGCTCCTCAACTCTTCCGCCACTTTGTCCTCTTGGTCATCTTCATCGTCGCCATCGTTGGCAGAAGTGCCGGGACCGTCTTCAACTCGGATGTTGCTGTCAAACGCTGCTGCAAAATCGCTGGCAACTTTACGATTGGGAATCGCAAAGATGATGTGTTCGAAGGCCGGAAACGTCTCGGTGCCCATCGACGGCGACTTGCTATTTTTCTTTGCAGCGGACGTTGACGTCGAAGAAGCAGCACCCAAAACCTTTGCAAACGCCTCGGCAATATCTTTTACTGGATTTCCATAGGCTCCAACGCCCCAAGCCCCCAATACTAATCCTCTCACCCCCTTTTGTGCCGCAATTCTCAGCACAGCCCGAATCTTCGCTTCAACAACCTCCCTATCCTTCTTACCTAGCCTCTTCTCTTCGTCTTCTTCCCCCTCCAGTTCAGGGAAACGTAACATCCCCGCACTGATAACGTCAACGTACCATCGTTCAGTGGGAGGAAGTTCACCGGTACTGTCGCCGAGGGGGAGGGCGGAGCGGAAGACGATTACGTCTTGTGTGTAGATGCCACCGTATTCTGGGAGGCGGTAGTAGGATTCCTTGAGTGAAGGAAGCAGTGTTGTGCGTGCGCAGAGGGATTCTTCGGCAGAGGTAGCGCCTGTCAGGAGGCCGCCGCCTGGACGGAGGGGGGAGGCCATGTTTAGGATACAAGGATTTGGTTGTTTTTTGGACGTCTGCTTCGATGTGGGAGTTGTAGTGTCGTGGTACAGCGAGGGGTGTGCGAGCATGTGTGCAGCGGTGAGGCTATCCGTCGCTACTATACGAATACTGCGCTGTTGCTTAGGCGGACTAGCTGGCGATGTAACAGTATTCTTCAATTTGAGGTTTGATAACCCTTCATCGAGAGAATCGTTTCGTTTCTTGCCTCTTCCCGTTCCTCGTCCTTGGCCGACACCCTTCCCTACATCACCATTCTTTCCACCACTCTTTACATCCTGCTCTTCTTCCTCAACATCCCTCGCACTTCTGGCTTTGCGTCTCCCTTGCCCCTTCCTCTTCACGTACCCCGTCTCTTCACCAGCCTCCTCACGTGCTCCATCCCTATTCTTACTGTCATGCTCTACCACTCCGATTGGCCCTGGGTTCGAAATAAGCTCACTCCCATCTGCGCCTCTTCTAGCTCTTGCATTTGACGCCAAGATTGCTGGGACAACTTTATTCACGATATGCCGCGCCTGCTTGGCTCGGATATCTTTGCGTACGGCGGGTGGCGCTAGACCCTGGGATTTTTCGGTGCGTCCCATGGCTATGTGGCCACGTACGTATCTTTGGATATCTGGTTCGGAAAGCGGTACCCCTTGTAGTGGTGGGCAAGAGAAGTGACCAAGTAGCTGCGAGAGTATTGTTAAGCTGAGTGTTGTTCGCGAGTACTATGTTGGATGGTTTGGTTAGTTGAGACTATGACGTTTCGGGCGGGTCTTGCGCTAGTGGAGCGGTTACCTCTCGTTCTATGAGCAGCTGGCTTCTTACTTTCTGCATCTATCACAATCACCCACTGCGGATCGTGTATCATTGAAAAGGCCTTTGTGTTAACTTGGATGGGGCTTTGGGACGATATGCTATAGTTGTATCATTTAATAGCTCGTACTACCCAGTACAGTCTACTTGTTCTATCCTACAATATATGGTAAGAGGGAAAAGAACAGTGATTCCCGAGATGGCATCCAAACGTAGTGATTCTTAATATCGAAAAATTGATCATTGAAAACTTGAATGCCCATGATCTGTTTGAAGTGGTGTGGTTATTATATCATGTCCCACCCTCCCTCTCTCCATCACTCCGCTCATCCGTCAGCCTACTAATCTGACTGATTGTACTCATACGACCCAGCAGCTCCGGTCTCTCCGCGTCCTTTGCATTCCCGGCCGTCAGCGCACTTTTATCGCGGTTCGTCCAGAAAAGCCAACTTTGTCCATTGTACACGGCAAGAGGGTTGTTAGACCGCACGTTCGCTTCGTGATCGGCACCAGCGGTGAAAGGTTCTTTGAGAGGAGACGAAGCTTCAGAATATGAGATGCTTCGTAGTGATGTGGTGGTACGATCCATGGATACGGATGTCTTGGGTGTACCCGTTGGTTTGGTGTCGAAGGTGTCGTTTGTCTTTGTAGGGTGTAAGACGGGGGACTCATGTGGTGTTGAGTGAAAGCTCATGGCAGCTAGCGACTTTCGGGGTGAGGCGCTGCGACGAGGAAGGGAGTTAGTGGAGTCGAGACTACCGTGCGATATGCCTTGTCGCCATGTCATAATGCGGTCGTTGGGTGGTTGTGTGGATACGCTGTCTCGCCGTGACCGACTAGTTCGCGATATGATACTGCTGGGTCGTCCGATGCCTGATGCTCTCTTCATGGACGCTGTGTCCCATTGCTCGCTCATCCGTATGCGCTTTTGGTGGGCACAATCTTGTCTGAACACTTTTAGTGCTCCGGTATAGTCTGCCGTGACGATGATGTTGCCGCCTCGATGTGCCGAACGTGCAATATATGCTGGGCTCTCCGTAGCTCTCTTAAAATGGGTATCTGTGGGTACAGGTGTCGGATGTGCGGATCCCGCCTCCGTAGGCGCTCTTGACGAGATGACAGATTCAGCTTTCGACACTAATGTAACCGGCGGTGGGTTACAGAGGTCGAATATAGGATCTTCTGAGGCGCTAAGCAGTTGCCTGGTCCGAATGGGTGCGATAACAGTGCAGGTTGTTATCGAATCATGAGCTTCGAACATCTCCACTGGACGCTGGTTCCTCTTCTCGCCTTCAGCTGTGGACACGGTTGACCAGATGTAGGTTTTCCGATCCTCGCTCCCGCAAATGATATGCCCACTGCTATCAGCAAACGTGGCTCGAATCTGGCTACAATTGTTTTCATGGCCACGAAATTTCATCTCTAGAGTTTTATCCTTCATGTTGTAAATGCGCAGCCTTGAATCATTGCTCGATACCAGTAGCTTAACATCGCCACTCTCACTTCCTGGAGGCCAATATGTCGCCTGGATTCCAGTAATCTTACTCCCTTTCGCATTCTGTCCGCGGGTTGATTTTACGTGGAGTTGGGCCTGCCATTTTAGTCCTTCAGTATCGTAGAACATGCAGTGACCACCAAGAGTACCAGCTATACAAGTCTTCCCATCGGGTGTGAAGGCTACCGATGTAATCATATCCGGGACAGTGACCGAAAACGCCACGCTTTTATCAGGAATACTCCATAGTCGTAACTTTGCGTCAAGAGATCCGGCGAGGAAGAATCGGTCGTCGGTAGGATGGAATTGAATCGAAGGAACGAAATCAGAATGCTTGAATGTGCATAGGTTCTCGTCTCGGCTCACATGCCATAGCCGTACCGTCTTGTCCATGGATGAGGATAGCAGGAAGTTGTTCTGTAATTATCAGCCTATGCACGAACGCATCAAACAAGTTCGACAGACCTTGCTCCAACTCAAATCCAAGATGGTCGACGTATGTCCCTGGTACTCGCGAACGGGCTTCTGGTGGAAGACTGGTGCACTGAGATGCTTGGCCTCTCCATTATCAGCGCTTTCATGCGCGCGGCGTCCTTCCGAGCTCTCAATCACCGCCCATACTCTGATAACCCTATCCTGCCCACCAACGGCAAGATACCTTCCATCCTTGCTGAACTCGACCGCCCAGATAGGATTCTGTGTAGCTGCCGACCCTGACTGGGGCGCAGGGTTCGATCCAGCCGCGGGCGGACTCTTCTTGTCCGACCCAGAACGCAACTGCTGAGCCAGGAAAACACGATCGAATTCCTTCTCCTTCTTGAACTTCGTCCTCACTTTGATGTATGCCGGTGGATGAGGTATCTTGGGACTGAAGCTGAAGTTGTCGACATAGAGCTGGGCGTCCATACCCTCTAATCGAAGATCGTCTGCCTCGGAGCCATTTTCGCTTGCGCCATCGAGGGTGCTGCTCTTCTTTTTGTTGCCTCCGATGAAGCGACTAAGAAATGACACTTTCCTACAAACCAAGTCAGCCTTACTGGTCACCCCGCCTTAGATTACGTCGGCAATGCATGTTCAGGCCAACCAGAGGAATAAGCGCATATCCAACTCGATACGCAGGTCCACAGGCCTTAATACGAGATACGCGCTAATCCCTGGCTAGCAGCCGCATGACATTCCATACGCTCTGTGAGAAGAGCAGAGTATAGGCACCTACTTTTTGTCTGCCTTACCCCCGCTTGTGTCGCGTGGCGTCTCTCCACTCAGCTTCTTGTCCGCGTTTGCATCGTTCGGCGAAGTCGGTGATTGACTCGACAAGGGCTCGGTGGTTTGCGATCGTAGTTTCTGTACCGCGGGCGACGTATTCGTTCTCTGGAGGATTTGCTATACGGTGATGCGCGATTAGCGTCCGTCTCCGCATGTCGAACCTTATCTGTACATACTTGCGAGAGCGGGTCTATGGGGGTTTCGGACAGTCTCGTGCCATCGCCAAGGTTTCCGTTTTGTGAATCGCTGGTCTGTTGCGCTGAAGGTGAGGTGGGGCTTCGAAGCTTTGCGACGAGCTTCTTGTTGGACAATGGGCCTATGGGTCCTGGAGTAAGCATCTGGGGACTTTCGGTTTGACTCTAGGTGTTAGTATACGACGTACCATCTACTGTGATTGACGACCCATTCTCCTGGTTCTGAAAGGAGCCTCTGCCAGCGACAGGTGGGTCTGTCACCTTAATCTTGGGAAGGGTATCTGCCATATTGACATGTCACGAAGCGACATGGATCTATCCCGTCGCCACCTCAATGGTACTTGACAGCGTTCGATAACTACACGGATTCGTATGCTGCGAATTCGTTCGAGTGGTATTCAAGCAATGTGGACGCTGCACTGAATAGTGATGGAAGCCGGACTTTGTTGCGGAGGATCGCGGATGTTTACGAGCTAGCCTTTCGTTGTCGGGTGCACCAAATCTGTACGCATATGCAGGGACAGTACTACCAAATTCCCCATATCGCGCATTTGGTCCGGAGTGGGTAATCAAGGTGTTGATAAGCTGAAGACGGCGCACGACGGTCTGCAAGCAGCCAGCTCGCTTGTCGTGATCCCAAAAGATGGCAGCCTCGGATACGCCGCACGCATGTCTGACGTCATGGTTGGCTGTACCTGAACGAATCCTTGCTTGTCTTTGCGAGTAAAGACTGTAAAGGAGGTGGGCGCATGGGGTTTGTCTCGGGATTAGTAAATGTCCCATGTGGGAGATCGAGAATGTTATGGCCGACATGGTTCGGCAAAGTTTGGTTGAATCAAGCGTGCGCTGTCGCGTGGCGTGTCGGACCGAAGCTGCACGCGTTATGCATATGCAAAACTACAACAATGAGCAAATGGCGGAAGGTTTTTGTGAAAGATGTATATTCATGATAGATTATTCAAAGTGATAAAGGTCGTTGGTCCCATCGCTACCGCATTCCGTAGCTATCCTACCGCGTCACTCATCCAAGAGGCCCATCCCAGCTAACTAGCAACGCCATGACGCCAAAGTGCGAAGAATGGTTACTTCATCAATGCAAAGGGGTATCCGAACGAATACGTCCGGCACCCGTGCCAAACCCAAACGTTCAACATGTTGTACAATAACCAAATGGCATATAAATCGCAAAAAGAAGAGAAGGTGAGGCATCTAAAAGTCCTCATCGAAGCAGAAGTCACCAGACTGGCCTTGCGGCTCAGGTGTGGGTGTTGAGCCCTCCTTCTGCTCGTGCTTCTTTGTGCTAGCCATGACACCAGCCTTCTGGTAGTCACCGACGCGCTTCTCGAAGAAGTTGGTCTTGCCAGCCAGCGAGATGTTCTCCATGAAGTCGAAGGGGTTGGTCGCGTGGTAGACTTTGACATTGCCGAGAGCCAACAGCAGACGGTCAGCAACGAACTCGATGTATTGGCACATGAGAGTAGCGTTCATGCCAAGCAGAGCGCATGGCAGCGCGTCGCTCAAGAACTCCTGCTCGATCTCAACGGCCTCAGTGATGATGGCCCTGACAGACTCTGGGGTGGGCTTGTTCTCGAGGAGAGAGAAGAGAAGGCAGGCGAAGTCAGTGTGCATGCCCTCGTCACGGGAGATGAGCTCGTTGGAGAATGTAAGACCGGGCATCAGACCGCGCTTCTTGAGCCAGAAGATAGAGGCAAAAGAGCCGCTGAAGAAGATACCCTCAACAGCGGCGAAGGCAACAAGACGGTTGGCAAAGGTGGAGTTCTTGTCGGAGATCCATCGCAGGGCCCAGTCGGCCTTCTTGCGGATGCAGGGAATGTTGTCGATGGCGTTGAAGAGGTACCTGCGCTGCTTGGGCTCGCTGATGTATGTGTCGATAAGCAGAGAGTAGGTCTCAGAGTGGACGTTCTCCATCATGATCTGGAAACCGTAGAAGCATCGTGCCTCGGGGATTTGTACTTCGCTCGAGAAGCGCTCGACGAGGTTCTCGTTGACAATACCATCAGAGGCTGCGAAAAAGGCGAGAACGTGGGAGATGAAGAAGCGCTCGTCGTCGTTGAGACGCTTGTTCCAGTCGTGGAGATCCTTGGAGAGATCGATCTCCTCTGCGGTCCAAAAAGAGGCTTCGGCCTTCTTGTACATCTGCCAGACCTATAGCGGATGCGTAATTAGCAAGGGTTTTGACGAAAACGTGTTTGACGCGTTGATACACGCGTAGAGCACGTGAGAACACCAAAGGGTAAAGCTTACATCATGGTACTTGATGGGGAAGAGGACGAAGCGTCCAGGGTTCTCTTGGAGGATGGGCTCTATGGCCTCCTCCTCCTTGATCGTAGGCGCGACGGTAGGCTTGGCTGCATCGAGGTCGTCCTCGAAGTCATCTGGGATGCCGACGATGGGCTTGAAAGTGTTCTCCTTCTCGACCGGCGAGAAGTCAAGCTTCTTTGCGGGTGAGTCGTTCATCTTGAGGGAGTCAATTGCAGATGCAACCTATCAACGCGTTAGTATGGACGCGTCCAACAGGGAACAAGTTCCGGAAGTATCGCGACGTACCTGCTTAGAAGGCGTAGACTCGACAGTAGACATTGTGGAAAGAAGATTTGGTTGAAGCGTGGTATTATGTGTAGAGAGACGAGCGTGTTATCAAAAATACTCGCAGTGACGCTGATGTGAAGATGATGGTAGATGTGGTGTGTGGAGAGAAAGAGCAGACGCGACTTCACTATAAATCCGCGTTCAGGCGCTAACACGTGACTGGGCGATCCGGCTTGCCAGCCACTAACGCGCTGTGCTCGCGAAAAGACGCTATGATCTCATCCATGCGCGACTTGGGTCGCCATGTGTATCCTGTTCTATGAATACTCAATTACATCCTTCATCTGCGTGAACCATATAATAAACTGCGCGCATTCCAATGATACCCATATCATCGCCTTTTCTTCTGTTGTTCGTCGATAATCATCTTCAATGTCGCCCGTCGCGTTGCCCAGCCACGAGCTCTCACGAAAAAACCGTCTGTGCCAGACGCGTCGCAACGCGCTATGATTCGATTCTCCCCACCACAACACGCAAGGACCGTTTCCGCGACTAGTTAGTCCTGCATTTGGCGGCTGAACAAAGGCTTGGAAATGCATTTGAAACCCATACTGGCCCGCCTCGAGGCCAGACTCGACGCTTGCATTGGCTGCAATCCGACCGTGCTCGTGCCGGCCTCGGATCAGATTAGATTTTTCTGATAATGATCTGACGCTGATGGCTGGTTGGCTCCACTCGACTCGTCACACGCAGACCTGGAAGTGTTTTGGCCCCGAGAACGCGTCGTGAGACCTTGTTCGGCGCGTCTGGAGCTGTTCCATCTTACATTCTCGTCTTCTTCCCCTGAGTTGGTCTCATAATCCACGCATACTTTGTACGGGTTTGAGATCTCGATGCGTTACTACGCGAGTTCACCCCACCAGTTGACTGGACGACGCGTGCTCGGACGCGTCTGAGGGTAGTCACACTAGATGTGGACAGGACCATATGGGTCACTATACTGACGATTGCATAAATCCAAAGTACGCTAGATGCACATATGCTGGAAGCAATTTAGAGGCGTTTCGATAAGGCCTTGAATGAACCGATCACAGATCGATATGATTGCATCACTCGGCCTATAGTAGTAACGGCAAAACGCTCGCGCATCCGCGCTATAGCCACCTATGACCAGCAGGTCACATCTGACCCGTGCCAAAATTGTATCAAGTCAATCTAGAGAAGCAAACGCCACTTTAGTCCCTACATCACTCCCCTCTAATCCCCAATCCCTTCATCAACCCCACCAGTTCAGGTATACGGAAAGGCTTACAGATCGCCTCATCCACGCCGGCCTCTTTCGCCAAATCAATCTGTTCTTTCCTCGCATTCGCACTAACAGCGATAATTGGTACATGCCCACTCAGCTCGCCATTCCTCTCCATCTCCCGTATCCGCCTCGTACACGTCAAACCATCCATAACGGGCATCTCAACGTCCATGAGAACAACGGACAGAGGCAGAGGCGGGGATTCGCTCGGAGAAGAAGAGAATGTTGTGCGGGCGAGTTGGGAGAGGGCTTCAATGCCGTGATTTGCGACATAAGTTGTGTGACCCAGCTTCTTGAGCTGGGTGGATAAAACGCGTTGGTTTATGAGGTTGTCTTCTACGATGAGGATGTGGTATTTTCGATTCCCTGTCGCTTTCGCTCTTTCTTGGTCTTCTAGTGGGACTGTGGTAGGTACTGTTGCGTCGGAGTTCCTATTGTCGTCTTGGATGATTTGAGCCTTGGAGCGAGTAGGCAGGTCGCCATTGAGATTAAGTTCGGCCGTAGTAAGGTCGCTAACTGGAGCCTTTGCTCTCCGTGATTTGATATAGAATGTGAAAGTCGATCCAACGTTGTGGATGGAGGATACGCCGATGCTGCCGCCTTGCATTTCGGCGAGCTCACGCGAGATAAACAGGCCTAAGCCTGAGCCACCATACTATGGAAACTGTCAGTAACGTGATGTGTGAGCCTCGGACGAGCACAAAGTTGCTTACCTGAACGTGTGTCTTCGGTGTGGCCTGCGAAAACCGTAAGAACAGTTTGGCTTTGTGCTCCGGGGAAAGACCACAGCCCGTATCTTTAACTATAAAGTTCAAATAAAATATTTCTCCGGCGTGATCCCATTCAGCCTGCGTTAGGAAGTTCTTCTGCACGGCTTCCTGGGGCACGTACTCGACACCAGGCATCTGTTGTATCTCCCGTGATGCGCCCATGATTACTTCGACCTTGCGGACTTCTTGGCTTTGGGTGAACTTGATTGCGTTGGTAAGTAAGTTGATAAGAACCTGTAGAACTCGGCTCGGGTCCAATATCGCCCAGTCGATATTCAAATCCACAATGGACGAATCACATCTGACTTCCAGGTCGACTTTAGCTTTGTTCGCTTCGTCCTTGAACATCTTATAAGCGTCTTGTAGGAGAACCGAAGGTTGTAGCACGATAGGGCTGACGACCAAAAGTTTCGAGTCGAGCTTCGACAGCGTAAGAATATCGTCGACGATGCGCTTCTGGTGTGTAGCACAGGCTTGTATAGTATCGACAGCATCCAGACTGTTGCTAATCAAGTCTCGGAGTTGAGTCCGAATGACGGGCTGGAATGTCAGAGCCTCTCTGCGTGCGAGAGCCTTCATCTCGTTCAGTGACGAGTAGATAGAGTCCGCGCATTGTACCATTGCGCTCAAAGGGTTTCGCATCTCATGAGAAGTCATATCAATGAAATTCTCCTGCTGTCTCTTTGATTCGAGGGCCTCTTCAACCCGGGTCTTCTGGATAGCTTCCGCCCATGCCATCTGACTAACATCGGTCATTGTCCCCATAATGGTTCCGTCGGTATGAGCAGTAGCGCTTACTAGGATCCAAGTCGGTGTCGAAACACCATCACGCCCGGTCCACTTCTTCTTGAGATTTATTGTGAAAGCATGCGATCCTTGTTTGTGTTTCGTAACCTCAACGTCGTTATAGCAGCGGTCTATCATGTCCTCGTCGACGATGTTTCGCCAGTCCACTTGGTCCATAGGTACTCTCGGGTGGTCGGTGATGTGGAACCATTGGTCGTTGCAGTACTTCATCGTTAGATCCTGGTTTAGATGAAATAAGCCCACGGGCGCGAGTTCGGTGAAACTGGCAAGACGTCGCTCCGCCTCCGATCGCATTAACACAGCTTTTGTCGCTTCTTTTTGAGCACTGATATCGGTGTTGCATCCAAAGACACCTGTTACAAGCCCGTTTGCGCCTTTGATTGGCACACAAGCTGACAACGTCCAGAGATAGTCGTCGATGACTTCTTCGCCATCACGGTGTTCATATGGCTGCTTCTTCCATCGGATCTCGAATGTCGCTCGTTCACCGGAGATCAATGTTTCCCATTGGTTTTCCACCATGGATATATCTCCTTCGAAGACGCACTCTTTGTAAGCGAATGGAGGGGCTTCGAGGACATCTCTTCGTTGTCCAGTCTGATTGAAGTACGTTTCCTAGTATGTGATTAGTCTCGTTCGACGTCCTAGTCGCAAGGTCCTTACATTAGCGTGTAGTAGTATACCGTTGATATCAATTTCAAAGTATCCCAGTCCAACTTCATCTGCAATATCATGAAAGTTACGAAGCTTTCCAGCTATATGGCTAGCTTCCTGTGCGAGATTGGCAACTTCGGCATTGAGGGCCGCACGGTCTCTTTCAGCCTGTGCCTCTTGACGTTCGCGTTTCCGGATCTCCTCTTTGTGAAGCGCCACCGAGGCCGCGGATGCACCAAGCAAATTAGAGAAAACCTTGATCCAGTCTTTGTACTCATCGTCATAGGGTCTTCGCGTGTTTAAACCGACCAGAAGGTATGCTACGATGGTGTCGTCGTATGCCCTGATTGGAACAACAAGAAAACATTTCAGCGGATCTCCAAAGGCTCGCTTCTCGAGATCATTGTAGAGCAAATGTGGCAATACGCCTTCTTCTTCCTGATACAACAGTGCAGTCCCAGCTCTCGCGCTATCACACATGGCGCGAGCTAAGCCAAGATCACTATCCAGGTCCAGGTGCGGGGGTAAGGCGGGATGGTTAGGTTTATAGCCAATTGACCATTCTAGTGTGAATTCACTTAGAGGTCCTTTCAATGGGGCGGCAGTGTCTGCCGGGCCGTGCCACTCGCACTGGGAGTACAGGACGGCAGCCGGAAAATCGTACTCAAATGGCCTGATTGCCTCTGCCAAGCTTTGCCAAAAGTCCTTGGTGTTTCTCGCCTTGCTAGCCAGTTGGCCGACTTTGAGCAGGGCATCGACGCGGCGTTCCAGTAATCTACGTTCGTCAAGCCAATGGTTTTGTCGTATCAAATATCAGGCATGCCTACCTTTGTTTCGTAACTTCAGTGACAATGGAATACATGCCGTCGACGTGAACACCAACAAGCGGTACAAGGCTCCACATGAAGAAGGCTTCCTCGACGAAGCCAAAACGTTCGACCATGAAATGATACTGCTCTTCTGGTGCGTCTGCAAAACTAGTGCTCTCCGAGCGAGCTATTGTGGCGCTTATAGGGTCGGCAAGTTCTGGCCTACAGCAAATTAGACATTGAACTACCATATGTAGACGTGACAAATACCAAGCATCAATAATACTCTGACCGAGAATAGCAGGATGTCTCGAACCACCGACGGCAGCATATGCAAGATTATACAGTATGGTATGCTCAGGACCAAGGAAGAGTGCCGTAGGTCGGGTTTCTAACATCAGTATGGTAATCAGGACATTCAGTTCATAGCTCCATGAACTGATCGGGCCAAGTGATGTCTTAGACCAGTTGACGTTTCGTATATGTTCTACATGTGCTCGCAGCTCTGGCGATTGAATCTTAACAGTGAAGATAGTGTCTGGCACTGGTTGCAGACGAGGGGACGGTAGCCTTCCCCGGGCCAATTGGGCAGGGTCTTGCAGGTGGCCAGGGTGCTCATCGTTTGGAGGTGGTTGCTCGATGATGGTGATAACCAGCCAGCGCTTGCATGCAGTAAACTTGGCCCATCGATACCGTCCATGCAGGAACTCATCTTGGTGGCAAGCTGCGACCCTACTCGCAGGATCCCACCAGTCTCTCAGCGCAGAGTGCAAGTGCAGTGACGATGCAATATGCGGTATGGCAAGCAATGCGGTATTGACATGATAAATGGTCGTAGTCTGAGCTTCGCAGTCAACGATGAAGGTTGGTCGTGGATCGCTGTCATATAGCTGTCGGATGTCCAATCCCATGGCGGATCTGCGTCGGCAATGCTGTGATTGGACGGCGTGCGGAGAACGGTGGAATGGGCGCGAGAAAAACGCCGAAAATGCGCCAAAGGCTCCTGTACCGGTCTTGTCGCATGCAATGGCGTAAATGAGTCCGTACTCTTACAATGCACGAAGTTGGGGGTGTTGCACAAGTCGGCCAGTGACGGACAATCGCTTTTCGCTGGTTGCCACTATGGGATTTGTTGCCGAACGACTAGAGTACCAACGAGCTAGACCCGGCTGGCCCTGTTATCTTCACATGACGCCCATTTGTCCAGAACTCTGGGATACACGCCTAACTTGTCTTGCCGAGACGACCGAACCAAAGCGTGGATTGTAGCGAGATATGATCTACGCTCACAATGCCAGCATTTGTATGAAATTTGATCTTTGTTCTCAGCACTTATTGTTGATTGGTAGCGGACCTTAAGACCGGTATCGGAACATGCAGCTATAAAAACCATGAACCTAGACAGATCCGTACAGCGCCAGTATACGCATATGTCAATAACGCCTGTATCTCACCCAAACCTTAGCCAAGCATCTCGCCCCAGTTTGGCACCACGACAAACTTGCCCTTCACCCTACCAAGACTGATTGCTTCACCTGCGTCCTCTGGTGCAACCCTCTCGCTTTCGGGACGCATGTTAAGGCTGGCAACTTCCTGCAGAAAACTGGCCTTGTTGCCAGGTGTGAGTTCGTAGCTCGTACCGCCCCAGTCCAGCGTTGTGCGGCCAGATTCATGCACCCGCAACTTTCCAACCAACCCACTCCCAAACCGGACACCTTCCTTTGACCTAGCAGAAGGGTCAGAAAAGCTGCCCTCCTCGAGTTTGATCTTCGGATCTGGTTTGGCTGATGGCTGCGCAGGCGGTGGTGCAGGCTGAGGGTCCAATGCTTCTTTCTTGATGGATGGTGGCTCTACCGCGGGCATAAGGGGTGGTATTTGGAACAGATAGACGTTGTTGTCTCGCACTGTGGGCTTCTTCTCCGCGTTGGCTGCGTCTGCCATCGGTACGTCGCCAGATCCATCCACTTGTGGTGTCTCCTCTGGGCCCAACTCGGCTCGGATATGGCGTAGGTTCGATTGGAAACGTGCCCATTCAGCGCGATCTTCGTCGGTTTGAAGGACGGGTTCCGCTATGCTCTTCTTTTTAAGTTTGGGCTTTCGCTCGGCATCCGGTGACTGTGGTTCTTGTTTCTCTGCGGGCTGAGCCGGCGCATCACACAAGCCTACCTGCTCGGCATCGGCCATGTTTTCGTCTTCGCTCGTAGGTTCGGTCTTGACAACAACATCCGAATCTTCTGAATCGTGCCAAACGCCCTTGAACTGTTTTCGCGAGCCAGTGATTTCGACATTCTTCGACTTGCTTTTAGGTTTTCGGCTTGTTTGCTCGGACGCAACATCCTTTAGCGATTGACCGCTTGATTCCGCCCGCTCCAGTATTTTCGCTGAAGTTTCCGAGCTTGCCTCTGTGTTGATACCGATAGTCCGCTCCTGGTGTTCTTTTCTGCCAATGCGAACGGGTAAGGCTGTTCGTGCTCCACGCTGTGCAGGTGCGCTTCTAGGTTTGCTCTCGTCCTCGTCTGAGGAGATTTCGATCAGGTCGATGTCCCTGCGCGGTATGTCGGCTAGATCTTCGTCATCAGATGACACAAGGCCACCATCTTCTCTCTTGATTGATGGACCACCTCCACTTCCACCTCCACCGCCTCCGCCCCCGCCTGACCGGGAACCAGACCCTCCATAACTCCCGTCCTCGTTCTTGACGCGCTCTGCTCTAGAGCCCGATCCAGATCCGAAGCCAGAGAAGCCGCGATTCGGGTTACTCTTCCTGTCTGTCGAGAAAGGTTAGTACAGACAACTACAGCCAGAATGATTGACATGCCTTCTTTGGAGCTACCCAACGAGAACGGTCCACTGGCAACGCCACTGAATCCACCTCTGGCATTTTTCAGCTTACTGGCCTCTCGTCTTGCTGCCTTTGCTGCCTCTGCCTCCCTCCTTTTGTCCGCAGCAACTTGTTCTTTTGTCCTTTCTCGATCGCGAGCCGCTAATTCTTTTGCAATAGCATCTCGCTCTTCCTTGCTCCTTCTTCCTGTGAACGCAGGCGTCTTGACGCCCCTCTTTCCTCGAGTTGTGCCGCCGCGGCCGCGTACAGACGGCGATGCAGATCGTGAAGGAGGTACTGAGCCTTGGAGACTGCCGAGTCTTTGCACGGGAGCGCGGGCTGCTGGTTCTGCGCCAGGTTGGGGTGATGCGACAGCTCTATCATACATGTATTAGCACTACCGTCGAAGTGTATAGAGTGATAGAGCATACGATGCAGCCGCTGGAGGCGCCTCGGGGGCTTGTGACTCTATGGTCGCAGATGCGCCTTCACCAGTAACAACGGGCTTCGCATCGCCATCTTCTTGCTTTGGTACCACAGGCTCAGCGGGAGCTTCCGAGGCCTCTTCGGGAGCTGTGCTTTGCGGGGTCGCATCCGTGGATTCGCTCGTGTCAGTCGTGGCTCGTCCTCCTGCCGCTCCTCCTCGCCCGCTGCCGCGAGCGCGGGTACTCCCCCGTCCTCTTGGATTTGGTGGCATTGCTGTTGTTTGGATCGTATGAAATGCTGGTACGTGGTGACTCGCGCAAGTCGCAAATATTTTGGCTATCGATAAACTCGTTAGCGCAAACGCGACGTCACATGTCAAGGTGAGGGGTCTCGACTAGGCTCTTGTTTGAACCGAGTGGTGTATGTTTTATCTGCTCCCACTGTTCACTCCATAATATGTAATCTGTTCAATAGTCTGAGCAATGGGTCGATCAACCAAACACATCAGTATCCAAAGACCAGGAAGCTTCCGAACATCATCTAATTCATTTCCTGACGACGGAAAACTCCATCCAACTCTATCAATTACAAATTCGTCCGCGTTGAATGCTCGGGTAAGAGTAGTGGTAAGTTGTGTGCATGTCAATGTGTGTAAAAGCCCGCTCCGCCAATGCTCGCTAGAGATACTGAGGATACTTTGTGCTCCCTGAACGCCAACCTTCAAGATGCCCAAAAGTAGTGTGTAACATGAACGCATTAGCAGGAAACCGGAATATGGTGGATACGAGCAAGAGAGCCAACGCGATGAACAACCAATAAACAGGGTATAAAATGCGATCCAACGCTTTTCTATCCCTCGACGAGAGTCTTGGGGCTCTTGCCGAGCAGCTCAAGACATCTACGCGCAAGGGTGACGACTTCGCCTTCACCGTCTTCGTTGTCTTCGTCATCCGATTCAATAGTGCGTTCGGCGATGTCGGTGACCATGTCGATAATCTCGTTCGAATTGCCAATGTGCTCCATTAGCTGTTGGTCTTCCGATTCGAGTAGCTGCAGCAATGTCCAGATAGCGATGTGCTGGAAGGTTGGGTCTCCGCTCGCCAAGAAGCGGCGGAGATAGCCGTGGATTCCGCCTGCGGGTTCTGTCCAATTTTGGATGAATATTGAGTAATCACCGACTGTACTTGTTAGTGACGATAATGAGTAGATGGGCGACGAGTCCAACTTACCCTTGGATGACAGGTTTCCCAGAGCGGCCGCGCTGTTACCTTGAACCTCGATGCTTTCCGACTCGGTAAGTGGGATGAGCACATCGAAGACTCCCAGGTTGAGCAGATGAGGCTTGAGTTCCTCACTCAGGGCAAGAACGGCGATTGCTGCCGTCATCTCAGACTGCACTGGGAGCCGCACGTTGAGCACAAGCGACTTGCATTTCTGCACAGCACCCGCCTCTAGAACCAATTGCTTGTTCTTGTCCGAGCTGGCCGCAAGGTTGCGCAGGGTGGAGATGGCGTGGCATTGGATTTCATCGTTATCGGTGGAGCCGAGCAGATCGACCAACGGCTTAAGGAAGCCGGCTTCGATGATAGGCGACTCGTTGGCGGGGTGGATGGAGATGTTTCGTATGCATGCGACGGCGGAAAGGATAAGCGGTAGGTACGACGATTGCAGGAGGCGGAGGAGGGAGGGCAGACCACGAGCGCGTACGATTTCGAGCTGGTAGCGTTCGTCTGATGCAAGGTTACGAAGAGCAAGTGCGGCCTGGCACTGCACCTTGGGCGAGGACGACTCCATGAGGTGTACCAAGGAGCCAACCAGCCTACCTTCAGTCTGTGCCAGCTTGGCGCGGTTGCTTGCATCGACAGCAATGTTGCTGAGGGCGGTGGTGCAGTAGTACTGAACATCGACATCGGACGAGGACAGCAGCTGAACAAGGACAGGAATAGCGCCGGCATTTACGAGCTGTTGTCGGTTGTCGTCTGGTTCCAAGTTAGCACGAAGCAGGTCGAAAGGATGCGAAGATGTTACCTGAGTGTGTCATGTTCAGCAGCGCGCCCGTCGCGTTTCTCTGCACGCGCATGTCCTTTGACTTGGCTAGCCGTGTAAGAGGCTGCAGTGCGCCGGAGCGTGCGATCTTCGCTTTGTTGTCCTCGTGCGTAGCCAAGTTGGTGATGCACCCGACGGCGTTACACTGTACCTCGACATTGGGCGAGTTCATCTGCTTGATCAGTGGCGCAAGACCACCTAGTGCGACAATGGCCACCTTGTTCTCGGCTGTGGGGGTCAGCATGCGCTTCGAAGACATGTGGTGTGAACCTACTGTTTACCGCCAAGTTGCCCAGGGCGGCACTCGCTGCACGCTGCACTTCGATGTCGGGGTTCTGGAGCAGGAACAGGATAGGCTCCAGCGTGTCTCGGTCGACCTCTCTGACATCTACACGGAGCGTTGTTAGACATGGTCCGTGGTGTGGTATCAAAGTATGGTATCAGCTATGTACCTCGCTCTGTTATCTCGGCAAAGGTCAAGCTTGCCGATCGCTGTAAATCGATGTTGTCCGAGTATACAAGAGTACTGAGTGCGCGGAGGGGTTCGCCGGAGAAGAAGTCGGTTTCGGCTCGCTGCGCATGTTAGCATGGGGAGCAGCTGTAGGCGAGGCGGTGGGAAGCGGTACATTCTCGAGGAAGCCCAGCAGGTCGGCAACAGCTTCCCTTTCGCTGTCTGCCAGCACTGGATCATATATGCTGTCCCTGGAGCGGCCTGTAGATGATGCATCAGTAAGTTCCCATTTCAGAGGTTGGAGTCGACTGACCGCCGCAGCAGAAGAAACGGTAACAGAGGTCCGAGATGGCCATGGCTGGAGGCGCAGACGTTCGCGGTCCGGCCGAGAGGTCTTGTTATCGGCTTCTGCAGTTTCGAGTCGCAATGCAGTGGCGCAGCGAAGAATGCAGGCAGCGGGCAGAGGTTTGGGGGTGGACCGGTGCGATGGGTTGATGAGCTTGGTGATGTTGTCACCCGCCCCAGGGTGTCGAAGAGAGCTTGGCAGAGGGAACTTGGAGGTGTGCTAGCTAGCAGTAGCGGGCGGCAGCGTCGTCCGAGCATGCAGTCGGTGCAACAAGCGCGAGGCTAGCAGCTTCACGTGAAAATGAGATTTGATAGATTGGACACGGATAGCCGCGTGGAGAGCTTGGAGAATTGGTTCTGTCTATGCTCAGACGTGCATGCGACTCTACAGTGCACTCTGTACGTGTTCGCAGTCTTCCTGTCTCGATGCGCGCAACAGTACACACGGCGTCACTCGCGGTATCTGCCCATTCCAAGCTTTCACGGTTTAGTATCATAAATACAGCACGTCGGAGCGGCGCTTGAAAGGGTCCAGCTGCGAGGAACAGGGACCCTGGAAGATGCCTCTTACTTGTCGCGGCGTGATGGGCCAACCACGTTGAGCTCCATCACAGCCACGACGTCATGTTTCGGCCGTTTGACGTGTACAACCAACAATGCGCCGGACAGCTCACAATTATGGTCCTCATGCTTCGCCATTCGCCTTTGCATCGCCCGGCGTCATGTACGGTCGAGCGGGCCGCTTTTCGGCCATGCAGCATCTGCCTGACGTGCCCCACGCTCGCTGCTTGTATCACCATGATTCTGCGAAGCGCCTTCAACAGTAGAATTATAAAGCATCCCTTGTAGAGCCTCCGCGCGGGGTAGCCGCTTTCCTCTCCCTCACAGAGTTGCTATCCGGCGACGGCTGCTTGGCTATTCGAATCTACCATGGATCATCCAGCACACCTACTACGTTAGACTGCCTAGAGTCCTCACCAAGCACCCACTCGCTATGCTCAAAAGCAGCAGATTACCCTGGGAACGTGTCCCATAGGTGCACACATCTGCATGGCTGAGTGATGGTCGCTCACGTGCCTCTGCGCCCGCGCCTCCGCTGACTGCCGCCTATTAACAAAATGCGTGGGGGGGGAGGGAGGCCGGAAATTGAGCAACGAGAAAGCAATATTCTAACAAAGAACCTCTACACTCCTTTCCGCCCTTCTCTCCTCTGAACCCGTTTCTTTGCACCCCAAGTCCATCCATCAATTGCCGCTCCGAGAAATCTTCCCAGGCATACCGTTGCTCGGCACGCCTGCAATTTCAACGTTCCGCTAGCATTCCGCTGTCTCCAAGCCCGAACATAATCTTATTACTTTACTTCCCGGTTTCGCCCTTCGCCGCGCGACCCTCACCCCACGATCGCCGCACACATTAATACACCCCGTCGCCGGTGTAAGAAGAGGTTTGCACCACTGTGAACCGGTTTAATGGCCCCAATTTCAGAACCCTCACACACTTTCCAGAAGCTCAAACTCGACACCTCGACGCCCCACAAACCCGTCGCCTCGACCTTTGCCTCTTTCGCGCCTCTAGCCCGTAAACCGTCCCCGCACAACCACCATGGCCAGTCCCAGCTAACCGCCGAATTTGCTGCTGCAGAGCCGCAGAACATCTCACGCGGTCCCTACAACAAACGTGACCATGATGTCGCTGGCTCGCGCACTGAATCCGACGATGATGGCTCCCTCCCAGTGGGCAGCAGCGGAAGCGACGAGGATTTCGTAGCCAAATTCAGGCAACGAAAGACGAGCATTAGCTTCAACAATGAAGTTCGCCTCGACACGGGAGAGGGCGTTGGCCTAGGAGTGCCCGTGCCCAAGTCTTCACGGCAGTCGCATTCACGCAGGACTGAAAGCGGAAGCTACTCGGATGGCTCACAGCACGACTACATGGAGATGCCTTACACCATGCGTAGAAACATGCAGTACCGCGTTGGAGAGTCCCGATACCCCCTTGCCCAGACCACCGTCGACGATCTTGCCCACGACTCCGAGTACCGCGACCAGGTCGCATCGTTGACTTCTGACGCTACCGCTTCGCCGCCGCTAGACGAAGCTCAGACTCCCCTCGAGGCGCCGTCTGAGTACATGCTCTCGCCAATGCCTGCTACGTCCCCTATGGAGTTCCCGCTATTCTCACCCTCTCCTCGGCGCGTGGGCCCACCTCGGACCAAGAGCTGGAGATCGGAGATTGGCGAAGATGGCAGCCTGAAGAGGGCTAGCCGTCGATCGTCTGCCCGCTCTGGCCGTTCTCTTTCGTCCATGTCGCCGGCTGCCTCCTTCCTGGCGCGTTACAAAGCCTCCGAGGCCCCAATCAAAGCACCAGAGCCAGACGATGAAGGCCAAGGCATCGGCTACGACAGCGAGTACATTATTGGAAAGCAGATTGGCTATGGTGGCTTTAGCGTTGTCAAGGAGGTCACAAGCATGGAGAATGGGAAGCCTGTCATCGATGCTGTCAAGATTGTGCGCAAGTTGCAACAGGACAAGTCTGAGCTTGAGAACGAGCAGATTCAGACACAATTCGACCACGAGGTGGAGATCTGGCGCTTCCTGCGGCATCCTTACATTCTTCCTCTCCTGAGGGTCTACACCACCGACTATGCTACTTTCTGCATCACCAGGTTGAATAAGGGCGGCACTCTTTTTGACCTGATTCGCGACACGCGCCGCCTGAAGAAGAATGGTCTCCCAGCTCACTTGGTGAAGCGCTATGCATACCAGCTGGCATCGGCGATGCGCTACCTGCACAATGACGTCCAGGTCGTACATCGCGACATCAAGCTCGAAAACTGCCTTCTCGATATGACGGTATCTGACGCTGAGAGGGACGGCGGGGATGTCTTGCTTTGCGATTTCGGCATGGCAGACTTCATTGTCAGCGACCAGCGCGACGGCCCTGAGCCCCACTCGATCGGTGAAAATCAGAACATAGGCCCCGCAGAGACTAGCACTTCTATCGCCGGCAGCCTACAGTATGCGGCTCCTGAGCTGTTTAATGCACCTGGTCCTGTCTTCTCTCCTGCGGCGGACATCTGGGCGTTTGGCGTAGTTGTGTACGCTTTACTCACTGCGACACTACCCTTCAACGACGGCCTGGACATCAAGACGATTGAGAAGATCCGAAACTGCGAGTGGGATGCGGAGCTCATTCGCAGCGCAGAGGCAGCTCAAGGAGGCGGCATCGACGACGCCCTCGCTCTAGTCCGGGGCTGTCTCCAGGTCGATGTTGAAAAGCGCTGGAATGTCCACGACATCCTGGAGTGCGCATGGTTGCGCGAATGCGAACAACGCTTCGAGCATGTGGGTCGCCCTTGGGTCGCCCAGTCATGAAGCGATGATTATATTTTGTACGAGTTACGTTTGGTGTTGTATGGGCCGGTTTGCGTTACGCCCTTGGATACCCGGTTCACATTGCGTCTCTTTTCCTTGCTTGTATTTCAGCCCTGGTGTTTGCTTATCATCCGGCATTTTGCGATTCAGTCACTTCCGTTGGCTTTTGGATACCCTGCATTATCTTTCCACTCATGATTCTAATCTTGCCGGCGTTTTTGCATCAAAGGTTCGACGGTCTCATTATACGTTGTATTTTACTTGGCCGCCTAATGAGCGTGGGTCTTACCAAAGACCCCATCATTTGTCATGCCCGTGGGTGATGATTAGCGAATTATACGACCTCATATTTTGATGAATTCTACAATGAGTTACACTACGCACACGCCATGCGTCCCCTCATGATCGTGCTGCTCACATGAGACTTGACACTTAATTTAACCAACGTGGCAATGTTACTCCACATATCTGTAGTCATGGTCATCTTACCACCTAGTTGCAGCGGTTATGCCCCGAAAAACAGAAGCTGTAAGCATGTTGATGGCATCAGCCGGATTTGCAAGCCTTCCCCGCAGTACGACACCCACACGATCCGTCGCGTCCACACACTTGGCTCCAAACACAAACGGCCTTGCAGTAGCTTGTCTAATCACTCTTGAACATCTGACCTCCACATACGTCGCTGCACTGCTAGTGCTTTAACTCCTTCCTCTTGCAAACGATCACCACGCTAGCAATGCATTCGTGGTCCCAAGCTCGGTGCCCGACGTCACTTGTGCCCCCTACTATTGGACACAGGTGCTTCGTCGCTCTTCAACACCGAGGCAGAAGCGTCACAAGGATCGTGGAGTCTGCCAGCACCATCCTACCTCACCACCCATACCCTACACAAACCATGCTCTAGCGTATGAAAGTGCACGTAGAGGATGCTCTGCCAGATCAGGCAAGGCTTCATCCAACGACCATGAAATGCGATAGAAACGGTCGCCTGATTACGACCGACTGATCTGCAGAAGGTTTGATATGATGTTTCGAGGGCCGGTCAGCATGGTGCTCACGGACGTTCGCTAGCTAGTCTAGCATAGCTCTATGATGCATGTTAGGCGTGTCGCTGCATTGAGCACGATGCGATATAAACGGACGAGCAGCCTTGAGTCGCGTGTTGGATCAAGTTAGTGCTGATCGTAGAATTCAGGAAAGCTTCGGCCTCCAGTAGTGACTCCTTCGACACACTGATGCCTGTATCAGTGAATACTAGCTGTAGTGAGCACGAGGTGATACAAACGAATGAGTAGTTTTGGACCATGTATATAAACAACCTTTTTGTTCCATCGCACTCTAATATTCCATTTCCACCCATCCCCCAACCACTCTTATTACACAAGATGTTTCTCCCCCTTCTGGTTATACTGACTAGCTTCTTTCTCACGACTACTGCACAATCCAGTTCGACATTCACCCCGGCGCGCCCGCCGTCTTTGCCTCTGGCAGTGAAGAACCCATATCTGAGCACATGGTTCCCTGCCGGCAGTGATGGAGGAAATGGAGGGTATCTGCCCGGTCAATGGCCATCGTTCTGGACGTGGGTCGCCTCCTAACGACACTTGCTGAGTATATAGTGACACAAAGCAGTGGTCAGTTGCTAGGGTGGACTGGTATAGTTAGGGTTGATGGCAATACTTTCGTTTGGATGGGAGCACCCGACAGCTACAACGATCTGGCTAATCAGACGTCGTACGAGTATACGTCGACCAAGAGTATTTTCTTCATCACTGCCGACGACAAGATTCAGCTCAAGGTCACATTCCTGTCGCCGCTTACTCCCAACGACTTCAAGCGTCAATCACTGATCTTCTCCTACATGGAGGTCGAGGTCTCGTCTCTAGATAACTCAGAACATGATGTACAGATCTACACGGACATCAGTGCTGGTTGGTACCCAGTTCTTCCTTACATATGATATGAGCTAATCTGCAGTTAGAATGGACGTCAGGGGATGTCGCTGCTGTAGCTGAATGGAGCTTTGGTACTACACCGGATGGTATCAACTATCACAAGGTCTGGAAGCAAGATCAACAAATCTTCAACGAGTTCAATGATAAAGCACAGTGGGGTAACTGGTATTATTCCACCGAAGTAGTCGAAGGTCTTACGTATAAGTCGGGCGCGGACTTCGAAGTTCGCGATACCTTTGACAAAGACGGAAACCTTGACAACGTGGAAGACTTGGACTTCCGACCCATCAACGCCGGCTGGCCTGTGTTTGGATATGCCCTAGATATGGGTTCCGTTGGTTCAAACGTGAAGTCACAGCTATTCACGATTGGTCTATGCCAGAATGACGCTATCCAGTTCCTGGGCGCGAACGGCCTCACGACTCTGCCATCACTATGGAAAACTTACTTTGAAGATGATATCGCCGCGCTATCTTTCTTCTACAACGATTACGAGGAGTCCAGCAAGCTCTCTACTGAGCTCGACGATAAGATCTCAAAGGACTCCAAAGCAGTAGCGGGAGGCGACTATGCTATTCTGACCACACTGGCTGCTCGCCAGGCATTCGGGGCTACCCAACTCGTCGGCACCGAGGACAAGCACTACCTGTTCCTTAAAGAAATCTCATCCAACGGGAATACCCAGACTATAGATGTCATCTATCCGGCTACTCCGATCTTCTACTATACCAACCCGGAATTGGTCAAGTTGATGCTCGATCCGCATTTCGAGAACCAGGAAAGTGGGCACTACCCAAACAAATCCGCTATCCACGATTTGGGAACGCACTACCCCAACGCTACTGGGCACCCAGACGGTGGAGATGAGCCCATGCCATTAGAAGAATGCGGCAACAACATGATCATGATGCTCGCCTACGTTCAGCTATCTGGCAACTCCGAATACATCAAGCAACACTACCCCATTCTCAAACAATGGACCGAATACCTCGTAAATGACAGTCTCTTCCCAGATACGCAATTGTCAACCGATGACTTTGCCGGTAAACTGACCAACCAAACCAATCTCGCACTAAAAGGCATCATTGGTCTGGAAGCCATGTCCCAAATGTCGCGCATCATTGGCGAAAGTGCCGACGCAGATGGCTACGCTACCACCGCCCACGACTACATCAGCCAATGGGTAGAACTGGGTATCAACAAGGACGCCAATCCTCCCCACGCCATCCTCAACTACGGAAATGAGACCACCCATGGCCTGCTCTACAACCTCTACAACGACCGTCTCCTCAACCTCAACCTGGTTCCCCAAGAAGTCTATGATATACAATCATCCTTCTACCCCACTATCAAAGGGAACTACGGCGTACCCCTCGACACGCGAAATCAGTACACGAAATCCGACTGGGAGATCTTCTGTGCCGCTATTGCGAGTCAAGAGACGCGCGATATGTTCATTAGGGATTTAGCGAGGTGGGTGCGTGAGACGACCAGTTCGCATCCCTTTTCCGACCTCTATGAGACTGGTGATGGGAAACAACCGGCTGGAATTGATTTCAAGGCCAGGCCGGTTATGGGGGGTTTGTTTGCGTTGCTTTTGCTTGATGGCAAGGGGTATAGTGCTAGGAAGAGGGTGTTGTGAGGTTGGTGTTCTTGACGAGATTTGATGACCGGCGAGTCTCATTTTGTTTTGTGTCATCCATTTTTTGGCTCAATTACAATAATGAAGTATACTAGTCGTTATGTATGCGGTACAGTATGTCTCCTTCGTTGTTATTTACCGTTCGCTGCTAATCACTACATTCTTCATCTCATTTTTTTCCTTTCCCTTTACCCTTTTGTCCTGCTTGCCCGCTATCTCCATTCCCAGACTCATCATCGAGATCCTCCAACGCCTTATCAGCATCAACATTCCCCTCGTACTCCACATCCTCGACCCACTGTTTCGCCAAGAAAAAGTGCCAGGTCGCTGCTCCCGCAAGTCCTACTACTGCTAGAAGGAAAAAGATAGTCTTGAATATCGACCATAGTGTTATACTAGCAAAGTACCGAAGCCAGGGCGTTACAAAGGCTTTTCTTTCTTCCTGGTAGGTTTTAGTATCGAGATCAGCGACACAGACATCGTCAAGGGGGGTAAACGAACCTCTAAATCAGGATTTACACAGTACAAAAGCACAACAAGCGCGACGAGGATGAGTCCCAGGAAAAAAACAGTCAAAACTTGGATGATGGCGAGTAAAATGGAGATGTCGCGTGTTGTACGGAGAACTTTGAAGCCTGCAGCTACGAGGGGGGTGACTTGTTCAAAGGCGGCGTTGATTTGGCGGGAGTAGGGTATGCCCATATTGGGTGGTAGTGTTGCTTTCTCCAGCAGCTACTAGCTAGTTCGCCGTGGTGTGTGGTTATTGGTGGTGAATTCGGGTATTGTTGAAAAAAAAAAGAATATGGAATTACACATTAGCTACTGGATAGAGATTGTTGTGAACCAGAAACCTGGAAAGCGGATGCAAGACATAGCGGGGTTTCTATATGCTGCATGCAAGACGGGAAGGGTTGCAGAGGGGCCGCTGACGTCATTGTTACTGTTGAGGGGAGAGCAGGGGTGAAGAGATGTGGATGTTGTGGCTTTAGCGAGGAGAGATCTTGAGAGCAAAGCGACGAAGAGTTGACGCATGCGCTTGCTATCCTTGGGAGAAGTTTTGATGAGATTGTGGAGCATTTTCGTGTCCACAGTTTTTACTGTTCTGAGAGCGCTACAAGTGATTTCGCTTCGACTTCCTTTAAGAATTCGACAACCAGCTGTACGAAATGTCTAGCTGGCTCTTCCTCACTGAGCTCATGATCGCCAGATGGGATGATCTGACATCTCTCACTCGCTAGACCCTCTGAAATCGCTTCGACCCATCTCTTTAGTAACGCTTCAGTGTCCACTGTAGGCGGAACCATCTCATCCTTTTCGGACATCAAAATCAAGGTTGGGTTGTCCAGTTTACCGAATGTAGATCGAAGAGCCGAAGTCGGTAGATCAGACGAAAAGAAGTCGTCGTCGCCACCTATGGAGATGAGGGAGTGCCAGCGATATGCTGTGATGGGCGAGGTGATGATAGCTGGGATGAAGAACGTGGGCATGATGGTCTTCTCCTCGCCTTTAGCAATGAGATCTTGGGCGTATTGTAGACTAGTGGAGAGAAGATCTGGTGACATGAGTAACGCTGCTGTTTCGCGATCTGAGGTTGGGGCTTGCATGATATAGCCATCGACTGGAGGAGGCGCTGGCCTAGTATTGGCATAAGTCATGATAGCCTGGCAACCTTTGGGCTTGTCAGCGGGAGACGATTGTCTTCAAGGTGAGAGAAAGAGAGGCTAGGTATGAATCATCTTACCACTTGAACTCCCCACCAAAACAATCTTCTCCATTCCCACTCCCTTCAGATACCCTACCAGATTCCCGACATCTTCAACATCGTCCTTCAGACTTCCATACCCGAACCCCGTATAACTAGTCCGCATTCTCAATTCCCACAGATTGTACCCAACGTCATTTTTACTCCCCAGACTAGCACTTTCCAAGACATCATTCAAAGCTCCAAGGTAATGCGTCGTATGCGGTCCACTGCCGAGTCCACCGATAAAGACCAAGGCGTTCTTGCAATTGGAGGAGTTGGAATGACGGCGCTCGTAGGCGCAGGTGGTGGGGTGAATTGGGGGAATGGGGTAGACGTAGACTGGGAAAGAATGGGCGTGATCAAAGTTTGGCATTTTGTGGAGGAAAGAATGCCTGCTGGTGTTGGCTCACGAGGGACACATTCCCGGGTCGTACGAGACGACTTATTATAGAGGTCTCGAGGTTGGATCAGGCATACCATGGTCGCCAAGAATAGGCGGTCGTTGGTGGGTATAGGATGCGTACAGCGACACGCGCGATTGGTGAGTTGTTCAAGTAGGATTCGATCAGGTTGATCCGACTTGGCTTGATGCGCTAGCATATTATTTGTCCCGGGCTTGCTTACGACAGTGTTTGCTTCGTTTGTGTTATGTAGACTCTGATCTAGTGGCACCTGGGAGTGTAGGCGTGTGGGTTGGGATACTTGATGCCCAAATATTCATTATATAGTGTAGTCCATATGCGTAACACATACCGTCTATGCCGTAATTGTAGCTCATGACCCTAGAGCCATGATCTTGTATATGGGATCTGGTCCAACATCATACTCGTCAAGAGCTTGTACTTCTCACAAGAAGGCAGCCGCAGCCGCAGCGGCCATGACGCCGAACTCAGCCCCAAGCCACTCTCCAGCAAATGCAGTCGGCATCGCGGCTCCCTCGGAACCCGTGGTGGATGTAGGGGCCCTTGCAGCGATAACACTCCTGACGATGCTGAACTGATCGCTGACCTGCTGTTCCTTGAATGCCCTCGCCGCACTAGGCAGCGCGGTGTACCAATCTGGTCTCGAGAAATATGTGGGTGTCTCGTCTGCCATGGTGACTTCGGCGGGAATGCTGTAATTCGTGGCGGTTCGAACGAAAGCGTCGATTTCGGAGCGCGCGGATGTGAGGGAGGATTGGTAGGGTTCGCCGAGCGAGCCGGTGAAACGACCGTATGCTATTTGCGCGTTGAGGAAGACGGAGGTTGTCCAGCTCGAGGCCTGTGTAGTTGTTAGTACGCTCGTGATATGTTGATTATCCGAGCTCAGCGTACGTCGGCTGGGTCCGCGAAGGTGGGAATGGCAGATGTGGGAATTGGCGGTTCAGTGTACACCATGAAGTCTGCCATGACGCCCGCCGCCGCAGTCAGTAGAAGAAGCCCAACTTTTGCGAACATGTTTGCGAAGGTAGCTGCGACGAGGTTAGAGCGCGAAAGGTGTTGTTGTGAGGTTCAACGGTGGCACGCCCAAGATTTCAGACATGGTCCAAGACTTCTTGCCTCGTATCAAACCGTTGCTGCTCCACATTTTGCTGATCGCGGTCATAACGTCCTGGGCGCGAGAGACCCATGGGGCGAGTGTGGCTATGCAATGCGAAGCATGACGGCGCGTGCACGCGGGTAGTCATGATGCGATGGACTGCGGAGATCCACCCAACGTGACTGGACCCACTTTAGCTGCCCAGAATGAACATCGCAGCATCTTCGCGTCTCTGTTGCACCCGCAGAGACTATCCTCGGGACCATACATATATATGAACATGCCATGTGTTGTCGTTTTGCAGTGGACTGAGTGTCTAGAATATATGTCCTTACTGTTAGGGGCCCCAATCATGTGCAGTCGACCTCCCCCCCCCACCACAGATGTGGCGTCTTACTAAGATGTGCGGATGCCAGGGTAGTGTCCGAGACTGAACGTAGTCTTATATGCACATCCTCTACAAATTTCAAGACTGCTACAGCACCCAATCGTTGGGGAGCGCAAAAGGTTAAGAGGCTTGTAGAACGAGCATAGCGAGATTCGATAGTAACACTTCTCGGTCCAAATATCAGCGTATATCTGTGGTTATACAAGCGGCGTGAAAGCGGTCGTACTAGTAATGATGCAGCTCCTATTCCCTATTCGAGACGGGTAGCAGATTACCGTTCAACGTGAGGGATACTTGAGATGCGCGTGTCCAAGATTTCAATGCATCTGTGTTATAGTTTGAAGCCCTGACACAGCTATCGATTCGGACTCAACGCTCGGAAAGCAGGCGAAATGCTCGTACATGCGAAGGGATAGCATCAACTGATGCGCACAACACCGCATGATTCAGCCACCGCAAGCGTCTGGTGCCTAAACAAATTTCCTGGTTGGAAGAAACAAAGCCGCAGGATGTTGTTGATCGGCATATCATGTCAAAGGCTGGATCGATCTTGTTGTTGTCACGCGTCGTTGGGAGGATATGGGAAAAGATTGGAGGGTGGCCGCCATTTGGATCAGGTTATTCTTGCCTCGCCTATTCTCAAGTCGATCAGAAGGAAAACGCATGAGTGAAAAGTAGGAATCCGGATCGTCTGCATAGGAGACTATGAAGATCATTCTAACACTTAGCCAAAGAGTGTAAGCTGTGTCCGATCGCTAAGACATACGATGAACTATTACACTTTGAATGTGCGGTATCCAACTGGCTTTCTTTGTTTCTTTAGGCGTCCTTACCAAGTGACATAACTAGAGCAGCCACCAACTCATAATGAGAAGCCATTTAGCCTGATACCCCAGTGGCGAGGCTCAACGGCAATTGTGTTGTTTCGTGGCGTGGCGCTTGTGGTATTCAGACGGCGGCCAACGGGACGAGGTGTCCGGTAGGAGCTTCAGAGGTCTTGTGCGCTTGCAGCCTCGAATTGTCATACATTGTCTTTGTTCCCTATGGGGATAGAGCATCTGGAGATCCCAACGATCCCAACGGTCCGAGCGTGGGATCTCAATGAGTGGCTGCGCATGGATTGGAGTCGGTGTACACTAAGCTCGCATCGGTACAACACGTTGCCATGATTACTGTGAACGAGGGTTCCAAGCTTTGGTGGCTCATCAATTTGGATGCGAGGCTGTAAAAAGTCGGTGTTGATGGCCGCTGTGGATACGCGGGCTGACTCCGTGCTCTTTGCTTGGATCAATGGGGCAAAGTACCCTACGCATCTCGTGATGCTGCCCGTTAATCTACAGGACAAAGCGATGTGATTGTGCGATTGTTAGGCGTCCTTGATGTGCACAACCCATCGTGTTGGATAATGCATTCAACATGGCTTGCTTTTGATGCAGTCAGGCTTGACTTTTCGATAAGACAAAATGCCAACGCAGGCAAAGATTGCTTAGATGCGGGCGGGCACGGGATGCAAGGGAAGCCAAGTCTGCTGAATGCCTGTTCGAGGTTGCGAACAAATATAGGAGAAGCAGTCACCGCATCAGCTGCACATGCAGGCCCTTCCTGAAGGATCCAAAGGGGAGGACACAGCGGCCAGAGCATCCAGCGCAGGAGTCGAAGGCGTCCAAGGCGTCCAGGGCCATGTTGAGATGTAGGCAACACACCCAATGATTGCAACGATTCAATTGGTGTAGGGGGAACGGCGGGATGCTTGAATCCCATCTACCCTATAGCTATTCGGCTGATCGAGAACTGGGGCATGGTAGTCGAAAATTGGCATGGAGAAGAGAGGCAGCCACCCGTTGGCGGCTTGGCCCGGACATCGCCCAGGCATAAGCGAGACCGCCCGTTTATACGGGAACCGAGTCACATTGACAGGACGCTAACCAGGGATTATCCTACTGCAGAATATACCATCAAGGAAGACGATGGCAGGATGGGGTAAATGAGCGAAGTGAAGCTCCTGTGATATGTCGTGTGAAGCCTCCTTGGAGCGTTTTAGTTGTTGTTGATCTCTGGGGAAATTCCCTGGAGAAGTCTGGGGAACGGCTCGATGCGCTGATGATACAAAAAGAAATATGGGATATCGAATTGCAGATGTAGAGTTTCTGCGGAATTCAGAAATGGTTTGGATTGGCCAAGATCGATGAAGCTCTCTGCTGTTGGTCGCTAGCCTGTGCTTGTCTACCATCACGTGTTCGGATGGGATTGAGTTAGCCAGGCTGGGAAAAACCGTCTCCATATTTCCGCCAACCACGCCTCATCACCTTGGCTCCGCGTGCTCTGGCAACTTCCCCAGGCTGTCCCCAATGGTTATGGGGGAGACCCTGGAAAAGCGCTTGTCAGACCCACGTTCGTGGTCGCTGGAGTTGTGAGCTCAGAGTAAGGAGCTAGAGGCTGGTTAATCTATTCAACCGTAGCATGCGACGCTCTCGCAGCTGATCACGACCTTCGAGAAGTTTGGCAGAAGCGTCCAGCTGTATGGCTGAGCCGGAAGAAGGCAGCGGGAAGGCCTGCCCCTGAAGCTTCAGGAGGCATACCGGAGGCATACGAGGCTGACGGGCCTTGCTGCAGTATGTATGCCTCTTTTCGGTCAGACCCAACATTTCCATCATGAGATCGCTGTTGCTGAGAGAGCCTCAATGCTTAGACTTCTTGTTGTTCTTGACAGCTGGCGGTCCCGCACGCCGAGACTGAGTCGACAGTGGGAGCAAGACGATCCGTTCATGGTCAAGACGAAGCTTGGGGTCTGGGCATGCTACCCTTGACCCCACCACTTTGGGCTGTTTACCGACCACTCTACGCTAAACGGCGGTTCATCCGCGCAGAGTGCCACACGATCCCCCAGACGTATTTACCCGGTCCGACAGACCGCACCTCTGGAGCCAAGATCCTATGCGAGCATAGTACCTCGTAGGCTGGGAGGCATATATATGAAGCACCAACATGTTCAGACTGTCCAGGCTCAGCTGTAATCAGCCCAAATCGACAAGTCAACAGCTTATATACCCTGCTGCCCAGGACAGTGTAAGGTTGTGCGTTTCAAACCCAACCTACACATAATCCCACGTTGTTTCGCTTCTACAAGCAGTCTCTGGACTAAGAGTTGGATATCATGGGTCTCTATCAGAAGTTCACGCCCAAGATGGGTGCCGTTGCGAAGAACAGGGCCGATGTCGAAGCTGCGCAGGCTGAGGCTCCTCATCTGAAGCAGGTCAACTGGAGGTCAGACGCTGGTCTCCGCAAGCTCTACGTCTACGCCTTCTTCATCTGTATCGCTTCTGCGACCACTGGCTACGATGGGTAAGCTTATCTATTAACATCACCCCTATGATTAAAAGCTAACTCTCTGCAGTTCCATGTTGAACAACCTCCGTATCCTACCCAGATGGACCGACTACTTCAACGACCCAAAGGGAGACACACTCGGTCTCTTGACTGCTCTTTACTCTATCGGTTCGATAGCCTCGCTTCCCGTCGCTCCCTTCGTTGCCGATCGTTTCGGACGTCGAGCATGCATCACCTTCGGATGTGTTATCATGGTCGTCGCAGCTTGCATTCAGGCCGCCGCTAAGAACCTTGACTACTTTATGGGTGGACGTTTTCTTATGGGTTTCGGAAACTCGCTGGCTCAACTGTCTTCTCCCTTGCTTCTCACCGAACTCTGCCACCCTCAGCATCGTGCTCGTGTCACCGCCGTCTACAACTGCTTGTGGAACGTTGGTGCCATTGTTTGCACCTGGTTGACTTTCGGTACCAAGCGCATCGATAGCGATTGGTGCTGGCGCGTTCCCGCTCTCACCCAGGCTGCGCCTTCCATCATCCAGTTGGCTGCTATCTGGTTCATCCCTGAGTCCCCACGTTGGTTGATCGCCAAAGAGAGGAACGAGGAAGCCCTTGCGATCCTCGCCAAGTACCACGCCAACGGTGATGCCAACAACGCTACAGTTCAATTCGAATTCGCTGAGATCAAGGAGACCCTCCGCCTCGAGTTCCAGTACCAGAAGACTTCCAGTTACCTTGACTTTTTCAAGACCAAGGGCAATAGGTACAGGCTCATGCTTCTCGCATCTCTTGGTCTCTTCTCCCAGTGGTCCGGTAACGGGCTTGTCTCCTATTACGCCACCGATGTCTACAACTCCATTGGTATCACAGACCCTGACACCCAGCTTGGTATCAACGGTGGTCTTAATATCCTCTCTCTCATCGTCTCAGTTTCCTGCGCTCTGCTTGTTGATCGCGTTGGTCGTCGCCCGCTCTTCATCTCTGCTACCGCAGCCATGTGCGTCACCTTCATCGTGTGGACTATTGCTTCGTCGCAGCAAGAGGCTACTAAGAGCAAGGCTGCTGGTCAGGCCGTCATTGCCATGATCTGGATCTTCTCCGTCGCTTATGCGCTGGCTTGGTCTGGTCTGCTTGTCGCCTACACAGTTGAAATCCTGCCTTTCAAGATTCGTGCCAAGGGTTTGATGATCATGAACTTGTTCATCCAAGTTGCTTTGACCATCAACCAATACGTCAACCCCTTGGGATTCGACCATCTCCACCCCACCTGGAAGCTCTACACGATCTACGCTGTAAGTTCTGCACCGATTAATCTTTTTCAGGATCGTATACTAATTACAACTAGTGCTGGATCTTCCTCGAACTCATCTTTGTCACCGTCTTTTACGTCGAGACCCGTGGTCCCACTCTTGAGGAGGTCGCCAAGATCTTCGATGGTGATGAGGCCGAGGTTGCTCACATTGACATTGAGACAGTTGAGAGTAACATCATGACTTCTGGTTACGAGAAAGATGGCAACGTCCGCGTTGAACAGGTCAGAACATCTTCTTAGATGGTTTGATCACTCGTGTGGATATAATTAGTGCGTCTCGACTGAGGATGGATCGGCAGTTGATTGGTTCTCGATATTCAAAGTATGCATACCCTTCGCTAGTACTAGTAATTCTAACGTTCTCTACCTATAACTCCCTGCTCTATCTGACCCATCTCCCTAACCACCTTCTTCCCCTCCTTTCTTTGTCTCCGTCTTTCCAACTTTGCTTTGATGGCGGCTTTGATCCCAGCGCAGCACATAACCGAAGAAAACAACGCACTTCCCATCCACAGCAGTGCGTTAATAAGATCGCACCACACAGCTCTCTTCATGCGTCCTACATCCACATTCTCGTATCCTTGCTGGATATTGCCGCGCATATAGATTGTGTAGAAAAGGCCAAAGGAAGCAATCCACAGGATGGCCAAAAGCCATTCTGGCACCCAGGTCAGACGGTAGTTTCGTGCTGTTATGCTGTCTATGACCAAGACTATAAGGGTGAGGCCGAATACGAATTGGGCGTATATAAAGTCTGTTTTTGAATAATTTGTTGCATGGCCGAGTTCGATGGCATAGGAAATGCCTGAGGCAAGGGCGAATGCGAATTGGAAGATGCGGATGCTGAGACGGAAGAGAGATACGGCAGGGTTGTCGAGCTTCGCGTTTATGGCCGACTTGAAAGACGATGGAGAGATGAAGTGCGACTTGAAGTAGGGTGGCGGTGGCCCAGATGGTATCGAGTGTGTCGATGGTGGTGATGAAGATGAGGCTGATGAAGATGGCTTGTTGTATACGGCTTCGATATCTTCCATCTTACCCATGATGTGCCTTGCGTTTGAGTGTATATCAGGAGTTCAGGGTTTAGAGCCGTGAGTAGAGTCGTGAAGATGAATTAGTGTAAATCAGAGCAGCGGATCATGGTAGAATTATATGCGCACTCAAACCGCTGACGCGGCCTACCCAGGCAAGATTCGGCGCAACTCATAAATAGGAGTATAACATGTCATTCTTTGCAGTTTTAGTTCTGCTAAGTGGAGCACAGCAGAAGTGTGCCAAACTTCTATCCTTGAACCTGCGTATTCTAAGAGAACACGAGCGATGCGAGCACTAGCGGCTTAACGTGAGAATTAGTGGTACCTTCCGCGTCGCATTAGCGGTGATCAATGCGCGATCGCTTTACTTGTTGCGCGGAGATTTAGGCGTAGAGAATTTCTATAGAGGGCAAGATCCGTAAATGGAAAGAGACTCGACTGGGTTCGGCCAAGTTAGTGTTCGGAGAGATCTTTCCCTGGAGATGTTTGCGATGCTGCGCCAACAACGCTAAATGGAATGATGCTAGAAGCGATGATGTATGCCGCTAGCCTAAGCAGCCCTGGAACCGTTGCCTCTTTTAATACGCGCTCCTCGCTCAGAATACGCCTGCCAACACCTCAATATCTTCGACGGCAACATCAACATGCAGCAAGATTCGCCACTCACGGAAGCCACGCCGAATTCCATTCAGACTTCCCGAGAACACTCCCCATCCGACCACAGTGGAAGAGGCACGTCGAGACGGTCGAAGATAACGCGCAAGTCTCATCGGAAGTCGCGGGCTGGCTGCGTGAATTGCAAGTCACGCCGCATTAAGGTACGTAGATCCTGGGTAACTAGAAGGAATTCGCGGTGTCTCTCCCATACAGGGAATAGACTTCGGATTCCTAGATATAGTACGCCGACTGCTATTAGAGCGCTGCAAAAACTAAAAGATAAAGCTCAGTACTAACGTCATGCCTAGTGCGATGAGGCCAAGCCGTTCTGTAATAATTGTAAAAGGAGACAAGTCCGCTGCGAGTATCCTGCCACCACCGCGACCCTCACTACCACTCCAGGACTTCCGGATCTAAGAGAGCCGGGTGGCCTTCCGATATCCGAAATCGAGCTCACATATCACTGGGCGACAACTACATGTCATTCACTATCAGCATGGCCTGCTGGCGTGGCTCGCGCGCAGTCGATCACGGAGGAAATCGCGCTCAAGCATGAGCATGTATTACACTTCATATTTGCGTTCACGGCTCTTCATCTCGCGACATGTAGACCAGAGCGCAAGGAAATTTATACCGCTACTGCAGATCATCACTACGAACGCGCGCTCGCACTCATTACTCCAGAGATAGCCGGACTCAACCCAGACAATTGTGATGCAGTGCTTCAATCCGTTCAACTAATTTGCTTTGTCAGTTGGGCAAGAGGACCACAGGCTGGCGAATACCTTGCTTTTGGTAAGCACGGTAGATCGGAGTGGTTAATCATGTTCCGTGGAATCCGCACGACACTAAATACGTTGGGGCGAGACAACTTCACAAAGACACATGCGCCGGCAGTTCGCAGCAAAGGTCGACTTTTGCCACCAACAGATGGGCCGTTCGAGCACGAGAAACAGATCAAAGAGCTGAAAGAGCACATCGAATTTGTTTCTGAGGCTGCTGATCGTGAAGAGAACGTGCACAGCGTTGAGATCTTGCAGGAGATGTACTCAAATCGTTACGGGGGCAAAGATGGGGAGTACCACGTAGTTTTCGGATGGCTTTACCGCATGAGCGAAGACTTTCTCGACCGACTCCAGCGACGCGATCCACTGCCGCTCATCATCTACGCGCACTTTGTTGTCCTCATGCATGACTTGGAAAGATTCTGGTATATGAAGGGGTGGACACATCATGTTATGAGTGGGATCTATGAAGCGCTACCCACGGAGCATAAGCCATATATACGCTGGCCCATGGCCAGTGTTGGATGGATATCACCTTGAAGTATTCAAGACCGGGTTGTAGCAGGTTGCACCGTCCGCCCAAGAGCCAACGCACATCGTCCTCTAGAGAGACTCTCTACTCACTCGGACCACGGATGGCCCTCAGGTCCCAACTTAGCACCAAGGAAAGCAAGCTTCAGGAGTTTTTGCTCAGTGATCTCAGATTTGTGCTTCTCCAGTTCATCCAGATTCCAGTTCACACTGATGAAGGAGCCCTTCAAGTAATCTGCCTTTGGTCGGGCAAGATACAAGGACAACCCGCCCGTCTGTATGCCCTTGTCGATCGCGAACCGCGTGAGCGAGTCAACAACCATGCCACGCTGCGTTTCTGTCGCAGCAACAATCCCGGGATGAACGGTAAAGACGCGGAGGTTCGGCCTCTCTGTTCAGAAGTTAGTGGCCGTCTGATTGCAAGATCGATTCAATCTCACCGGCATCCAGGTACTCAGCCAGTTTGAGCAACGCCATCTTACTTCCAGAGTACGCGCTCATACCAGTAAACGTCAATGAGGCGCCCAGCGTACCGACAAAGATAAGCGTACCAGCCGATATAGCCTTGAGGTAGTAGTGCGCAAGGACGTACGAGCCCTTGACATTGACCTCGTAGTCACTGAACCAAGTGTTGGGAGGTAAGTCGCCCACCGGTCCACCAACCATGCTCCCAGCAGCGTGTAATACCACGTCCACGGTACCGAGATGGCTCACAGCATTGGAGAATAGTTCTTCAACCTCAGCCTCGTTGGTCAAGTCGGCAGTCAGGCAAAGGATTTCAGTCGAAGGACTGAGCGATGCAACGGCCTCTGCCGGTTCCTTTAGGCCCTCTTTGTTGCGGCCTGAAAGCACAATGCCTTTCGCACCAGCGATTGCCCAGGCTCGCGCAACTTCCTAAAGCATATGTCAGCGAACATACATAATAGGATCGTATGGTATTGACGTACACCACCAAGTCCACCTGTAGCACCCGTGATGAGGATGGTCTTGCCTTTGGCACTCAACTCGGGGTTCTTGGGGTCGATAGTAGGGTAGACGTCACGGCGAAGCGTCTTGGTAGCCTGGAAAGGCACAGTGAAAGCATTGGGATCCATATTGATAATATGTGTTGACGGATGCGATTCAAATCGAATAAGCTTTGCAAGAAAGGTTTTAGAGTGTAATTGCCGTCCTGGTCGTCGCTGTCTTCACAATTGCACAATGGCCAACACGTCACCTCCACCCCGTCTTATATACCTCGATACTTTTCTCCCTTATTCTAAGCTCCTATCGTCAAATACTATATTCGGTGTAGTCACATCTTCCACTCGACTGAATATCCAATTTCGAAGCATTGACAAGCATTGAAAAGCAGCATTTACAAGCACTAAGGTGGTATTTCAAACTGCTTAGAAATGCAACCAACGCCTCATATCTCTTTGGGGTATGTATGCAGGAACGTGCTGCAAGGCTGCAACCGAGCGTTATGGCGGGTCGTACCTAAGTATGTTGCGCGGATTGGTTGGTGAAGGTGGGGCGAAATCCGTCGGTTGCGCGCTTGCGATGTGAGAGTTAGTGCTGACAGTATCTACAGAATTCAGTTGGCATTTTGATATACATGAGGTTGGCACGGACATGGAAGCCATGCTTGTGTCAAATAAGCCTTCTTTTGGGATGCTGGCGAACCATGATCCCCATCTCCACACACTAGCCTAATAAATTATCGAGCGGGTTACAGTGATGCCATGAGACAACCCGATCTGAGTTTTGGAATATTACACGTGTATATCCTCTCTGAGTTTAGAGCATAGACGAAGCGCGTCGGGATGTCCAAGATCTAAGCTACCTAGGTAGTGTTCAGTCGCAGTGCCACAATGTGCCATGGGAATGATTTGCAACCTCTTCTATAAAAAATTCTCTTTCCTTAACCTACGCTTTCTGTCACCTTTCGTTTCGTTGCGATCAACTGTGCGGCGGTCTCCACGACCTGAGGCATCATGTTGAGTATGTCTCAGTATTTTTGTCTCTGACTGTAAGACCATATTGCCTACCACGCAGTACACATTGTAAGCTAGTTTATCTATTTTCGAACATTTCGGTGAGCGGAGCAGGAGGACAAGTGCCCATCGCAGTTTCTTAACGGCTTCTTAGTGCATCCTCTCGGACCAGACGGTGCAGCACATAGTGAGATCGCTAAGCGATTTTGAGAATGGAGTCTTGGTCGGGTAATACAGCCCAACATCGTGAGCATGTGGGAGTTATCTGCGATTGGAAAAACACAAGACAGAAATATGTAGCTCCCTTTTGTAGTTTCTTTTGGGGAAAGGCACCAGGCGAGACCAAAACATAGCCACATGCTTGCAGTTGTTTCGTGTGAAGGGTGGAAGACGCGCGGAGATGGGAAAGTCCAAGACCACAACTGCGAGACAAGATATTTGTGCAATCTGTTGTGGGCCTCATATCATGTGCACGTTTGTTTGAAATGTATGTTTTCAATTGTTTTTCTAAGGCTTAGTGTTGCTCTTGCTCAACAAGCTTGGTGCAGGACTAATGCGCACATACGCCGAAACCAGGATAGCATTCCATTAGACTACAATCCGGTGCCCAGTTCTGAGCTAGTCATCATACCCATGCTCGATTTCATATTGTTCCATCATGCTGTCGTTCTCAGGAATGCAGCCGCCAAAGACTCAAGATTGAATCTCGAATGCAAAAGGGCAAAGGTTTCATGTCCTCCTCATCGCAACCGGTCGACCCATAGGTTTGTTCTAAGGTCAAACGAAACGACTATGTGCCTTCTTATAGTCTGACCTAGGATTGTTGAAACGGGAGCTGCCCTTTGCAGCACCCGAGGGACGATAGGGAAGGCTAGTATGCATAGCGACACGGGCGTTTTCGTACCGACCCATGGCGCCCAAGTGGTATGATCTCTTGACTGGATATGAAAGATATGCACCAGTCGGTAGGTTGAAGACGATGGCCCCAGCTTGCTGGGGCCGAGCAAGTGCGGTCATCGCCTCTGGAATAGTGAACATTATAGCCGTAGTGGTGGCCGACCTCGCCATCTTCCTCTCCCTTCTAGTCGCTTTTCTGTCTTTTTTCCGGCCCCGTTCGCTCTGTTGCTGGCGTCTGGTATGCTCATCTGTAAACATCGGTGATTTTGGTGGTAGGGTCCATCTTCCTTCGCCATCGTTCTGATCTAGATTATCCTCTTGAACGCTCTGATCGTCCTGAGATCGGTTTGGGAGGCTTCTTTGGGGGTTTCTCGGCGTCTTGCTACGCAAAGCGTATTTCGAATGGCTTTGCTCCTCTGCTTGGTCTTGATGAGCTTTAGATCTTGATGAATACGCAGGAAAAACCCCCTCGACCTCGTCGCTCAGCGTCAAGTCAATGAACTGGGACGTCTGGCTTGGGAAAGACTTGGCTCGTGAGGTACCGCTGGGTTGCTGGATCTTTGACTGGGTCCTCATGTACCGCATGTTATCCTGCGCAGTAGTGTCGTCGGCCGCTTCTTGTAGTCGCTGCCTCTGTCGCTTGCTGAAAGACTGCGACTGAGACTGAGACGCTTCTGGGTCCGATCGTGCGCGTTTTGAGTGAGTCGCCATAGTGAGGTGAGATGTGGTACCACTGTGGGCAGTCGTGAGTGCTGAGATTGAAGTGTATGAGACCCAAGAAGAAGCCCTCGTAGTCAGATGAATTTGAAGACTTAACCAAGAGGTGTCACTGGTATGAGAGAGTGCGCAGGCTTTTCAAGGTGTAGGCCGCGAAGGTGACTGCGATGAGTCCCAAGATTGCCGCTTGGACCACCAACAAACGCTCGTAGAAGGCGCATCCACGTGGTAGAAGCTATTGTAGAGCCATTGTACGATCAGGCCCGACCCTGTCTACCGGTCTTTGCATTGAAATCCTGGACTGCCTGTTTAAAGCCAGGCCAGGCATTTCTGACCAACGGGTTGTTCTCCAGCGTTCGTATGTAGTTTTCGGGTACGTCATGTAGTCGCTTTCCTTCGTGGATACCCTTTTTGAATCTCCACGTGTCTGATGCCGAAGGAGTGTGTGATTGAGATGGTTGTGGGTTTTGTGTTGGGGGCTGCCGCGGTTGGGGAGGCTGTGGCCGTGGCTGCGATGGCTGAGCCTGTGTCCGTTGGGGTTGGGTCTGCGGTCGCTCGGCCTGTGCTGGCTTGAGACGTGCTTGTCCCGGCCTGTGGTATTCAAATGCTTCCAGGAGGCCCACGTGTTTGTCTATGTATTTGTAGAGCTGACCGCCAATCGTCTTCAGGTAGTTGTCGTCAACATGCGTGAAGCGCTTGCCAATGTGCACCCCGAAAGTAAAGACGTAATCGCGTGCAGGGTTGTACTCGGGTGTTGTTGGTCCATCCATAGAATCGTCGCTTGTGGCGCTGCTAACGCTCGATCGACGGGATACTGGGGACGGTGCGAAGGAGATGTATGCGCTCGAGTCGGCAGAAGTGTCTTCCTGGTAGAGTCCGTAGCGTACTCGGGTCGTCGTCGTACTCAGTGGGAAATCGCGCAAGTAAATCTGTCTGTATACAGCGACCGCGGCTGCTTCGGTAAACATGACCTGTGCTCGTGGTTGTCTCCCTCTGCTAATCGTGGGTGGTGGCGCCTGGACGTTGATCTCGATATCCTGGGCGTCGTACATGTCGTCGTCGATTTCGTCCGAATCACTACTGTCATCGTCCGCTTCTAGGTCAAAGTCGTCGTCGCGCCTGGATCGGTACAGCGCTTCGAAGTTGTTTCCGCCAGAGGATAGAGGTATAAAGTCTTGTTCTGATTCATTTCTGCCACTCTTTTGTGCAAAACGTCCACCACGGCCTCCACCTCGCCCTCCGCGTGCAGCTCCACGGCTGCCTCCGCGCGCTCCGCCACGTCCTCCGCCACGCCCGTGTCGAGCGTTATGTATGGCCTTTTGTCGTGCTTTGTGTCTGATCGGGGGAGGTCCTGTCGGCTTGGAAGATTTCGATTTGCGATTCGCAGCCGCACTCGCGCGCCGTTGCTGGCAGGGGCGCGACATTGCGACGGCAGTGTTTGGTGGTGGAATAGTCGGGATGCCGAATTACACCTTGTGTGCTCAACGTCAGAGTTCAAGACGCTCGGCCCCACGCCTACCAAATCGGCATCCCGAAATTGCCCTTTCTCCCCCCCTGCGCACGTCCAAGCCAACTTCATGGACCCTGACGCTAGCACCGCTGTGAAGACAGTCACCGGTTGTGTTATGGGTCGTTTCACAGTCTCAAGGAATGCTCGTCGTACTGCTCAACACTCCCTTACAGAAATGCGTAGGCTCGTATGCACTAGCTGTAGCTGTCACTCCCAGTCCTCCAGGCCTGTCCTACTTTCATTTCACTCCAAAGCATCCGCCAAGGCTGCCAATGAGACAGACTTATATCAATGAGGTCGCACCGGGTACGAATACTGGACTTCACTGAACTTCATGCTACAAGCCATCATAACTAGAGACTGTGTGTGCTCTGCAGTGACATTGCATCAAAGAAGGAACAAGATCGAGGTTTCTGAGAGAACGACGGGAGCCTCGAAACAAACAGGTACCATTACAACCGTCAAGGTACAGGAGCTGAAGACGGCGCGCAGGAATCGCACATGGAGTGTGACGGACAGTCATCTCCTTTCGCTGTCAAGCTTCCTGGAGATGTGCATAGTTTGAACATTTTCGGCCTTCCCTGACGATCGTGACTTCATCGCGTCGCTCCTCATTTCCCTGCCAACACCATGCAGTACACAGCCAACCTCACGTAATATTGCCCAAGACAAAGAAACCCGCGCCGCCCTCATAAATGCATCTTTTCGGAGGCCTTCACATTCCTTGCGGCTCAAAAATGCACCTCATTGCACAGCATGGGTGCTTGCCGCCCGGCTGCCGCTGAAAGTACTCTATCCGACGCGTCTGCGCCGCAACCCCGCATCAGCCTCGCAGCCAACCGCCGCATGACCCCATCGGGTACCCAAGCGGGGCTCGCCGAGCGAGAATAGTAGCGATGAACGCGATAGACAGGGTGAAGGGCGGGTAGACCGGCGTAGTTGTTCTGAAACAATCTCTCCACAGGCTGCAATAAGGTACAAAGGTACCTTTGTTCAGCGCTACCAGTATCTGCATTCACATTCACATTCTGCGCACCTTATTTGCATCGTTCAGCTGGCCTTGGATCTGGATATCCGTTTGCCGTCTACATCTTGACTGACTGCGTCATCAACTCTACTTCTACAACTTCGAGACAAATACATAACAACATAAAGCATTTGCAAGCAGGTCTTCACCATGCACACCAACACTTTCGCCATCCTCTCTTCAGTCCTCTTCTTTGCATCGTCACCATGCACCGCCCGCGTTGTACCTCCTCAACCCCCGCGCATCCTCCCTCGCGGTGACGTACAATCATTGCTATCAACATCTGATGCATCTCTGGCCGATAAATGCACGTTCACCCTCTTCCACAAGCAACTCATCACCGCTACTCAATCCGAATCAACGAGCAAGGGCAAAATCAACTATATCCAAATCGACAGCTTGGAAGATCATACAAATGGAATCACCATCGATGTTGCTTCTTCAAGACCACGAACCGAGCGCAACTCGTATGCGAAGGTCTCTGCGAAGCAGGTTCTCACCATCGCGGGATTGCTGGATGACACGAGTTTGACCATCCACGGCACAGACGGGGAGGATGCTCTTGTCTTCGAGTCTGATGGCGTGAGCTGGGCGACAGAGGGCGGGAGCAAAAGAGTGAGGCCTGACGCATGGTGTGATTCGGGCATCTGGGTTGAGAGTGGGAAGGGAAGTAGGGAACGCACAATGGAGTGCGCATTTCCCTGCGCTAAGATTGAGGAGGGTGAGGACGAGGAGAGAGAAGAGCTGCGGTAGATCACGCAGGCACAATATCCGAGAACGTCTGTAATCGAATCAGAGTGCGGGCTTCGGCAAATTTCCTTTTGTTCATTTTATATTCTCAAACACTCGATACCCATCAGAAATAACAGCAGGCGTCTGTATAAAATCCGTGGAGAACCTCAGGGTCTTTGGCTAAAAATGACTCGGTTTCCTAAACACAATACTCTATATATGTATATGTTCACATCAGAGGTGACGATATAAGCACGCTAAAAGCAACAAGTATATCCTGTAACGCCGTCCACGCTTGACCTAACACCTTCCACTTTCTCCTTTATCTATTCCCAAACGTCCAAGGATCCCTAGCCGCATCAAACCACGTCATATCCCCGCCCACCATATGCTCAGACTGACAACACCCCTCTTCCGTACTCACTCCCTCCTCGATCGGCATCATCATCCTCGCCTCCAACCATCTCCCCAACCCCTCATCATCACACCAAGTAATCTTAGCAACCCCCACTCCTCTTACTCCAGTAAACAGTTTCAAGACCGAGTTATCAGCTCCATCAAACATGCTCTGCCAGACCTTTATTTCAAGAAACTCCGCACCGGAGAACGCGGCGGTAGCTTGACTGCTGGTAAATCGGGGATCGGTATCTAGACGCAGTTCAAGTTGCCAGCGATTAATCTTCGCGATACCAGTCTGAGACAAGACTGGCTGCTCAGGGCAAATCAGGTGTGGCAGAGCCGTCAATAGGGAGCGGTGGGCGTGGAAAACGTGTGTTGTGTATACGAGATCTTGGGCTTCTTCGTGAATCCGGCGACATGTTTGGAGGATAGCCGGGTACACGGCTGGAGGCTTGGATGGCGTAGAGTACGTAGCTAGGGTTTTGTGGTGCGGTGTATCGGGGCAGAGGAGCTCTTCATAAATTTGGTTGCGTAATTCCGCTGGGAGACGGAAGAGGATCGAGGTTGATTGTGGGGTTTTTTTTCCTACTCTTGTTGTTGTTATTGCTGGTTGTGTTGATGGCGTAGGCTGGACTTGGACTTGGGCTTGCGTGGTCGGAACGTGTGATGACGGCGACGCAATGTTAAGCGTAGTGGCAGGGAACCATGGCTCGTCGGTTGCATGCGTTCGGGGCATGTTGAAGTGCGCTGCGAAGTAATATGCTGTCGCCATCTGATCTGCTTTCACTTCTTCGTTCGTTTCGATAGAGAGGGAATCAATTGTAATTGGTTTGCAGCGGTGCTCGAGGACTTCGTTGAGTCGATGTGTCTTGAGAGTTGACTCTTCGTAGTGAACAGCTCGAGTAGGTTAACTCGTCTGGTAATCTAATTGATATATGCGCTTGTTCTCAGTCCTATAACGGTTGCTGTTCGTTGTCGGTTGTCTGTTTCGTCGTGTTCCCTGATCGGGTAATGCACTCCGCTATCGGGTCGCTTTTGCTAATGCCTGACTGACTGGTTGATTGTTGATTATGGAAAATGATATGAGAAAACTCTCTCTGAGCAACTAGATCTTTATACAAAGCAGGAGATGCGTAATATTCGTTTCAATCACCTTATCAGCAGTACTGCTGTCAATGTGCCGTCACGTTAAGCTCTCTAAACTTCGGACCGAAAGGGACTGGATCGTCTGCAAGTAGCGTGAATGTCGCGCCACATTTCTAGGCGTCACTCCACCGCCCTTTGTTGAACTGCGTCCCTTGCATCTGCAGAGCCTATCTGGATAGATCTTGCAGTTATCTGCATTTATGTCCCTTCTTCTCTGGTGTCTCGAGGGCTCCCTTGTCAACACAATGCATGTGCCACATCCATACATTGCTGATCTGGTGTTGGCGCTCATAGGCAGGTCAACAACACGCGTATCAACGGGCCGAGGCTGACATCACGTGTGAGAACGAACCTCGTTCGACTTACGTAGATGCGATAAGTTCTGCCCTATATTCGCGCATCACATCTTTACAATTCGAAGCTGACGTCGAACTGAATACATGGAACGAACAAGAGTCACTGACATTGTCTGTCGCAATTATTCTTGGAACTGGACTGTATAGACAGGGTGATCATACATTGAAAGATACGAAAAATTGGTGTACAGTGGAACCTCTTCCAATACCCAGGTACCCTACTCTTTACACGACCCACAAGCATTATCCGCTCCACCTTCTATATACCGCGCCAAAACTGTTTAGACTGAATCAGTGGAACCAATCCTTCAAAAAGTCAACAACAGCATTACTACTTGGTGTAAAGTGTACTTACGCGCATGGCTCGCGGAACTGGACATTCCACGCACTGACCTTGGACCACGCACCACCAGCGTTGCAAGCAGCTTTGTCCTTGTTTCGCTGAGCGTTCATGCATACATCTTCGCACCTCTCCTCGCCACCGTAAACACTCTGTAAAGGAGCAAGTCTCCGGTCAGCTTTATCCTTGGTTTCCTAATGATTCTGAGGGTCTTACGGTGCTGGCGCAGCAGTGCGAACGGTCCTGGAACAAGCATTGACAGGTATGAGAAGCCTGAACACCAAAGGCGAAAGCGAAGATGAACGCAGCGGCGGAGGTGATGCGGACCATGATGACGGTTTGGAAGAGATGAAGAGTAGTTGAAGTAGAGTAGAGTCTTTTAGAGTTGCGGGAGAGGTATCGATGATTTGGTTGACATCCTTTCCCGATACACGGAACCACTGAGACTTCAAGGTCTTGTCGTATACCATACTCACTGTGAACGACTTCGGAAATGGTATTGTAGGACGCCGAGAGAAACCAGATTGGGGTTGACGTGTCTATTTTCGGACCTTTTCATGTGCCTCTTTCGGACCTTCCAAGTCTTGCTCCACTAGGTACCAATCTCGGCATCCTTCCCCCATCGCGTTTTACACACCGCACATTGTGATGAATTGCGATGATCTAAAGCCCCATCGGTAAGTATTTCGACAATATTCCGGTCGCTAGTAAGAGTACCCCTTTGGCTGATCCACCAGTCTTAGGTGAGCTTCTTTTCTGAGCCAAGATCAAACATATCCATCCAGCACGCGGAGATGTTATACGAGGTGCGCTCGGAGTCCATGTGGTATTTGTTCTGTTGATCGCATGGTTTCTCATACCAACGTACTCGTATTCTGCTTAACGGTCGAGGTATTGGGGAAACAATGGCGATTGCCGTATCACTAGACTTGAGTCGTGGAGGAGATAGACTGACCTACTGGCACGAAAGCCACCGAGTTTGAGCACGATAATATACTCCTAGATGATCATGACCTTATAAAACACCTTGGCAGCCTCTGTGATGAGACAAACCACAGTTCCAACATCAATTGGAACCAAGCCCCTCCTCCCCTACCTTCCTTTCCCAACCTACCGCCAACATGCGCTTCTCTGCTGTTGTTGGCCTTTTCCTTACCATGGCCGTTGGTACCTAGGCTGGCCTGTACTCCCAGTGCTTATACGCTGATGGTTCCCACTGTTGTATCGCTGTAAGTTCCTCGAAACCTTTTGGGGAGAGAAATATAAAACTGACTAGAACTACAGGACAACAAAGGTGACTGTACGTCAACCTGTATGAACGTCAAGCCGCTGTTCGAAGCCACGGGCTGCAATGCTGGTGGAAAGTTCTCCGACGTGAGCGCCTGGAACGCCCAGTGGCGCACTGCCTGCAACGACTAAGTTCCTCACGAAGTCGTTGGAAACTTAGGAGGTGGTCAAAAAAATCGTGTAGGATAGGAAACGGAAGAGGTTATGGGATCAGAGCATGAGATATACACAAGCCCACATGTACATCGATAGTCACGATGAACTCTTCCATCACATTTTCGTCAACTCAACATCTTAAGACAACCTCTACATTAATTACTGCATTCGATTTGCACCTTGATCCCAAATAGTGGTGTGATGAATGTACACCAACAACTTCTACCACGAGCGCGGGTAGAAATCTCGCATCGTCTTCAGAACTCTCTGACATTATCAACTGACTGTTTCCCTGTATTCCTTCCCATTCTCACCCATCGCTATCGTACTTCGTATAGTAAACATGTCTCATAAATCGTTCATGTGTCAAATATGACAATGCTGTGTTGTTCAGATCCGCCCTGGGTAGAGTAAGTCTGGACTTTTCCTCCTTTCCATCAAGTATTCCTATCCGTAGTCTGCTCATGCCTTATTATCACACCACCATACCCGCTATGCCAATACCGACGGCTGCAGCGAGACCCTTAGCCCAACCTCCTTTTGGTGTAGGAGCAGCATTTACCACGACAGTTCGCGTCACACCGGTTCTACCAGTCAACGTGCCCATGCCAATCTCTCCTATTCCTGGGAATGGAGCGTGCGTTTGCGCAGGCTTGAAGTCGAGCGATATAGTGTGTGGCCACCAGGTCGAATACGTTCCGCCGATCCATGTTTCGGCCCAGACTACGGTGTAGAAGGGCACATTGCTGAATGTACTGCTAGGTCTCGCCAAGCGTGTAACATCTGCGCCTGCTGTCCCGGCGATATTGATGGGCGGTGCAGGAGCTGGTGATGGTATGGGTTTGGCTAGTGGAGCAGGTTTTGCAGTTGCGGTTACCGTTACTATGATCGGGACAGGTGGTTGCTGAACAGGCGCAGGCGCACCGCCAACTAGAGCGATACCCGGTCCCTGACGGAGCCTGAAACCATGTCAGTACTTTTTATACCACTGTAGTTTCTCATGGTGCGTCATTACTCAATGCCGTCCGAACCAGCTATGGACGTCACAGCAGGTGAGCCCGATACGGGCACCGAAGCTGGACTCGTGCTCGTCGTCGACGGGTCCTCCTCAACATCTCGCAGATATTCGGACTCAGCAAAGAGCCTACCGCCCACCAATGCCGACAGCAGGGGGACTGAAAATGCATGGGCGCGCATTCTGTGTGGTGTGAGGAATGGAAGGGGTGGCCGCCCACCAGTCCTTCTCGTTTGTGCAGGCTCGAGACCGAAATACAGACTCTGTATCTGACCGACTGACTGGCTAATGGAAAAATTGATATTGAAAGCACAAGCTGCAAAGCGAAGGTAAACCGCAGGAGGTATATTTGTGTCGAAACCCGTCGCAAAGATGCAACGTTACTCGGAAATGTAAATGTATTGTAACGTGCAGTAGGAGAAGAGACGGGTAGAAAGTAAACAGGCCAAAAGAACCAAAAGAGTCAAAATACAAGGACCTAGAGGCGCATGCGAGTTGCTGGAGCCAAAGAGTGTGTAGACCCGGACGAGTGTGTGGTTGAAACACTGCAGTGTTAATGTTCTACTACGAGGATACAGACGCAACGACTAAACCCTGAACCAAAGCAGAAGGAGCGGCTCTCCTTGCGGGTGTTCAACGACTGCCTCAGGTTTCATCGTGACTTCTCAGTCTTACTGATAATGAGCTGTAGCTTCTGCCCATTGGGCCATGGTACGATAAATTGGCGCATGGAGTGGTGGCTGATAGCCTGCATCCGAATTATGATATGAGTTAACCTTGGGAGCTTTAGAAAGGGCAAGTTCATGGGGGCAGTGTAGACAACGTCAAGATTAGAATAACAACCTACTGAGTGTTCAGCCATAGGATATGCGCATAGCCTGCGCTGCTACGGTACCCGAGCTAAGGGGTATGCATCGCTCGTAGTGACCAAAACTGAGTCCCTACGCATCTCTCGAGAACACCAACCAAGAAGCCGGTCAGTGAGTGTTCTGTGCTGAGAGATCTCCATCTCCCCGACCGACCTGCAATTTGCTACGTAAACCATCAATGAAGGTCGTCGTGACAACACGGTCCCGTTCATCGCAGCATGTCGGTAAGCTAAAGCAATGCCAAATACAAACAAGCCTTTATCGCCCTCTCGAACAAGACTAGATTGGCGCTACTCGAGAGCTTGTGGTGCAGCCAGAATGCAGAAGAACATTTGAACGTAGGGGGTGACGGACACAGCCTCTCCCGGATGCGCATGAGGTCAGGAGGAGACCCGATGCAGCACGGAACTCTTGCAGGCAAAGAAAGATAAGAAGAAAAAAAAAAGACAGAGATTCTGCGGAGCCACAGCCACGGGCGCAAGTACAACAGCAAGACTTCGTGATCGTGTCATCTCATGAGCAAGATGTCAGATATCTCAGAATATCTCCTCGCCACTTCCTCCAATAGCCTCTATGCCCCACTATCACGGGAGTACCTGGACCGTCCTCTGGAACCGCCGCTCCACCAGGACTAAAATTCGAAGTGCCCGGAGTCTAACGGCGCCGCGTTACAAGCGCAGCTTTACGTCACTAGACCGACAATCCCTTTTTGCTACTAACCCAAGTACCGAAACGCACCGGCAGACGCCACCAGTGGACCTTCGCGCGGCGCTGGTCTGCATTGCATCCAAGAGTGTGAAGCTGTACCGAGGAGAGTTTAGCGGTGTTTTCCGGTCTCGTGGTCTCAGTTTGGGTCGATAGATTGGAGCTGAGTTAGGGTGCTAAGGTAGTTGGCGCCGGAGAATGTAGTCTGGCTTGATGAGCGCGTTGTTCAGCTCCTCCGGAGAACGCGAACCTGGCTTTTGAGTATGCGCGTCGCGGGTAGTGCCATGGATGTGTCCCGACAAACTGCGTGAGGTTCGATAGGCTTGTGTAGCGCGTCTGATTGGTGCTGTTGGCTGACCGGCTGAGGGACGCTGGAGGGTCTTCCGACGCTCCCGGAGTTAGGCTCCGTGACAGTAGCCAGCTCCACAAAACAGAAGCCAGAAATTCCAACTCGGATGCTAGGCAAGTAGTAGTTCTTGCGCGTATGCAAGGTACATGTATTGCAAACTGGTATCATTGCAAAACGGGGATGCAGGGCAATGTCCTTTAATCATAACCTGAGATAAGAGACCGTGACGAAAGACAAAAGTGTAAAGTGTGGTTGTAATTTCTGTAATAGTAGCTTTCTTAGGCTGGGATATATCGACGCATAATGGTCTAAGATGGTATCTTCCGATCCTTTTCTCTTTCCAATGCAAAAACAGGAGACGCGGCCCTGTCGAGAGCCGACGGTGAGATGGGGGTATGAGGGCCGATAGGATAGTTGGAATAACAACATCCGGCGGAGTGAACTCCGATACAATAAAAATCTCTGTCACGATGGACCGAGGTAGAGGAAAAGCCGTTGCCAGACTAGGGCAGAAGGCGTAGGCAAACGGGCTGGCTGCGCAGAGTCCCGTGCGAATGATATATACAAGAAGTGAAGTGGAAAAAAGGCAAGACACTATAGGCGGCGTTGCGCCATGAGTATGCTGCCGAATCAAAAAGAACGTGTAGGGCGGCTGAAGACGGGCCCGTGGGAAGGTCGAAGTGAAAGTGAAAATCGGACTGCTGTAGCCATATTACTCCAAGAACGCTGTAAAAGTAGTCGTATGCTCGTAAAAGTTCTGTCCGTAAGGTCGGAGAACAAGGGCCTTGCGATAAGAAGCGAGAACTAGTGTCCCAGGGATGTCCATCACTCACCCCAGTGTTAAGCTGAGTAGTATGACAAGTAATGGGGCTACGAGTGATAATGACGGCGCGCTGAAGTGGCTGTTCGCGCTACCGGTAAAGGTTGTTTGACCGGGCGTCATGTCGTCTCCGTCTGTTGAGAAGAAGTACGTCTTCGCTGCGTCGACGCCCTGACTTTGATCTGGCGGGCTCATCTGGTTAGGGATGGCGCAAACCTTGGCTGGGTCGTATGTTGGGCAGCGGTCCCTGTAGTCGTTTTGCGAGCGTTCGGTATCGGTTGAGTTGAAGTATGCCTTCATGTACGAGATGGTCATGACGGTGTCGCGATCCGGGGGTCCTGCCGACCAAGATGGGTCGCCGTTGCTCCAGTGGTTGAGGAAGATGCCACCGCTCTCCGTGGGAATATTCTCCGTCATCTCATGGAGAAGTTCGCCGTCAACGTAGAAAGCAACGCGGTTGGGGGTCCAGTCAAAACGGTACTCGTGGAACATCTCATCTGGGCGGAAAGGGAGAGCCATGACCTCGAAGCCATTTGTTCCCTGAGCAGCATAACCGTGCGTAACGGATTCCGGGCTTTGGAGAACGAGGTTTACGGCGCCTTGGGAGTTGTTGAATTGGTGCGAAAGGAATTCCATGTCGATTTCTTGCGAATTGTTGTGGTACTATGCTTGTTAGCCAATTCTGAAACCCGGGGTCAATGTAGAGTGCGAACGTACAAAGAAGAAAGCGCCGCATGTTCCAGACGAATTGGAAAGCTTCATGCCAACACGGAAGCTTCCAAGTAGAGAGTCGTTGCGCATAGTGACAAGCTCGGCACCGCTCACGAGACCGTCTTGGTGATCTCCTCGTACCCATAACTCGAGTCCCGCGTCTCCACCATGGTCGGCCTCACCCGACCATCCCTTCTTGAACGGGTTTGCGACAATGTTGGTCAACTCCATATTCTTCCCGAATGGCCCTCTAGCATCTTTCGACGTAACATTATATACCTGGGGTTGCCAGCCAATCTCTGTGAAGTCTTCCGTCGATGTATGTAAGAAGTCGTTCTCCATGAGCTCTGTGAAGACAGCATAGGATGGGTCGGTTGTAGCATTAACCGAGTAACCGCATTCGCAAGCAGCGTTGGCTGGATGAAGTTCACCGGTCAGCACGAGAGCTTCTTTGGGAGTGGTTCTGCAGTCGCAAGCGAGGAGTCTACTTACAGAAGCGGGCCATGGCAAGTAATAACACCCAGGGCGAGGCCCCCCAAGTACTACGAGAGAACATTGTGGGAATTATTGTATTAAAGCGAGTGACTGTAAAAGGTGAAGGCCTTCTGTTGAACAAATAAGAAAATAGCTGAAGAGCGTGCGAAGGCGAGCAGAGGGTGTGGTTGTAATGAGGCCAGCCAAAAGTAAAAGAGGTCGGACGGCGAGATGGCAGGCAGCGCAATGGCTGATGATGAACTGCTGGGCCTCTCTCGTGCAGAATGGCAAAGTCCGGCACGTCCGCCCAAAGCAGTGCAATTACGGACGCAGGAACCACTCACGTCGAGCTTGGGGCCTGGGCACCTCCGCTATCTTCCTCAGGGATCGACCGTCAATGCCACCGAAATAACGTGTACGAGGTAACTTTGTGGGTCGCCAGAACTGGCCAAGTCCAGGCTAGATCGAGTAGCGCAAGTCCGGCGCCGCTGCTCCAGGGCCAAATGTCGATGGCAGCGGCGTATGGTATGCGGGAACGAACTTTCGTCAGCTGGACAATATGGCTGGGACATGGTGGCTGACTACCAAAGTATCTAGGGAGCTACGATCAAGGCTGGAGGCGGCTGGTGATAGGAATCTCTCCACAAGACTCCATTCGTGCATCCCTCGTGCCCAGCTGTCTCCGCTCCTGTCACCCACGCGATAACGCATGCGCTATCCCTCGAACCCCTCAGAGGCTCGGAACAGGAATGGCCATCGACTGGTCAACGTTCACCACAGCCGTCGCACTACCTCATCCTCCTTGATTGGCCATGCCCTTGTCTCTACCCAGTCATCATCGAGATTGCACCCAAGATGACATCTCTTCATTATATCAAGGCTTGCGCAACAGTGCCCTCTCCTAAACTTGCCATGTTCATCGCTAAGTCTCCTATTCCAGATCCCACATGCCAGGAATCGCTGGCGTCTTAGACGAGTAACAGCTCACGAGCGCCATGCATCCTCTGCATCCTTTGAAATCTTTTCCGCTCTTAGTCACATGCCTCGGGGAATAGCGAACGTATCACAGGGCGAAGAGAACGCCCTTGCCGCGCCGTTTCTGTGCACGCCTGATTGCAGGGCAACACAATGCTTGCACTGTGCAGCAAGAGATTACCCATCGCTATCAAGCGAATTTAGCGAGGAGCAGGGGTACGACGCCCTGTCCGCGTCGCTGATGATAATTCCAACGCTTCCGCTCGAGGAGACGTGGGACGAACAGCATGTGCCTAACACAACTATGACGAGTTTCTGCTAGTAAAGATCGACACAATGTGCTTCTGGTCTTGTTTATTGTTGATCAACCACCCACTACCAGCGCACAAGCAACCACCACAACACCCCTATTTTCCGTTCCGGCAGACCTCGAATCCCACAGCACCAGGACCCAGCGAGCAACAACCCGCCCAAGCTCTCTCGTACCAACTTCAGACGGGAACCCAAGTCCCAGCGAGCATTGTCCCCTCCTCGGCATTAGGTCATAGGCACCGTCGGCTGCACACTGCACCGTGCACGCATGTCTTCTGACAGCAAGAAACATGAAAAGCTGGGGTATGCTACTACCAACTGCGCAACGGCTGTCGTTCATTTGGCGATTTTCCCTTGTGGGTAATTTCCCTCATATTTCATGCGAGGGCGATCCTCGACCGGCGCCGGTCGGCAAGGACGAATTGGGTCATTCATAAGACGGCATGCTCGTGCCGAACGTTCATGGCGAACGTCGATGCCATGGAAGGATAGTAGAAGTCTGGGGCATTTCTTCCATGAGGCCGCCAGCCGCTGGGCTGGGCGCCTTGGTGATCGTTGCGGAGGCGAGGTTGGGGTGTGCTTGCAACCTCACGATATGTACCATGTACCATGGCTACAGTAAGTTGCCATGGCCTGTGAGCGCGCATTAGCGGGCACCGTTTTTTTTTTAGTCTGCTAGATTAAGGTCACGATGCTCACGTCGGGTGGATATTTTTCCTGCTTCAATTGGAAATTGCCGCAAAGGATGATCCGCCCAAGAAGGACACGAGAGCAGCAATCCGCCAGCACCAAAGTAGTCTGACGTATTTATATTCGGGTACGAAGGGCTCCGCGATATTGTGAATACAGGGTCTGGTCCGCAGTGGCACAGTGAGTGTGTCCAGTTACACTCTACTATGAGAGGCACGCGAGCAAGTAGGCACCTTCAATTGTTTTAAAGGTGAGCGCAAGTATCTGGGCAGTAATCGTAAGCCACGTTGGTTGGACTCTTTGTTTAAACACCGGGAGAAAGTAAACCTAGTCTACACATTCATGTGCCAGTGGTCATGGCGACTGCCCAAACTCCAGTCCTCACACGCACAACTATCAGTACACTCCTATGCACCAAAGCACAAACGACGATCTCGCCTCACAAACCCATCATGAACAGGTGTTTTGTTCACCGTCACTTCGACACTTCAAAGCACTCCGTTAGATTGGCACCCTAGGCTCAGAGTCAGGAACTGCCGCCGATACGAGGTAGAAGAGAAGCGCCGAGCGTCCCTTCGCCGCCCGCCCAATAATCAAACACGAGCCCCAGTCTAGCCACGATCTCACAACACGAAGGACTGTGCCTAGAAATATACTCCGTATGGATCCAGGGTCTAAAACTCGAACAATGGACGCTACAATAGCTGTTTACTAAACACAGAGTATACATCATCATTGTGAATGAAATTGCTATGAACCTGCTGATGCGCCAGCGACAGATAAAGTATGCCGTTCCGCTGACTATGACAAGAGAAGATTTTCCCAACCGCAAGCGCCCATCGTAATGTGCCGTGAAAGGCGGAGCTTACCGGTTCTGTAGACCGAAGAGGTAAATCATACGCATCCGCTCAAAGCGCTCTACGCCAGCACCAAAGAGAGCAAAAAAATGTTCCACAAAGATCCAACTCTTTTCATTCCATCGTTAGGGTAAATCAGAATAGCAAACGCCCTTGAAAAATCAAGTACTCCAGAATCCTTTGAACCAACAATGCTAGTAGTGTTTCGTGTGGGGTATCATCGTCATTTGTCACAATCTCATCACAAGAATCCACTCTCGGAGAGAAGCCTAAAACGCCGTTAGCCCCATCTTCTCTCCAAAGGTCGCATTCATATCCGCTTGTTTGCCGTTTATTCTCCATCTCGGCGGTTTGATATCTTTTGCTATCCTTCCAGCCCAGTTTTGGAACGATCAAAGGAGAAATAGGTAGTGTACCTTGCAATCTTTTCGTCCTCGCGCTCCCTTGGCTCGACGCTCAAACTCATCTCGTACATCTCGTGCACATCGCCCGCTGACTGCATGTTTGTGAGGATGTAGTCTTGCAGCTCTGGAACGGGTTGTAGCGGGTACGGCACGTTTTGGTATTGCTGGATGTCACGAATGACTTCGGCCGTCTTGGCGCGCTTTGCGAAGTTGATAAGGTTTGTGCGTTTGATTAAAGACGGAATACCATCTTCAATAAACGTCAGATCGGTGAGATAAACACCTGGCAACACGGATTAGCTAGTTGATGCAAAGGTCTTGGTCGAGGGTTACATACCGAAAAAGGGTATACATGGGGGATTCGCCCGATGTAGCGTGTCTCGGTATTCTGCAAAGTTCTTGGTACTACCCATGAGTTTTCGCATGCTCTCCAAGGTCGCCATGGAGCGTTGGTTTACAGCGCTCCAGGTCCTGTTCAAGCGGTGGATGGGTGCAGTTCCTAATGCTGAGATGATAGAAGTTAGTGTAGAGAAGTTGTTCAGTTGTCGGCATTTCTGGATCGTGTTAGCCACTGTTCTTATATAAATCCGTCAAGTTAACTTACATCTGCGACATTGACAAAGTGCTTGATGACAATCACTCTGCGCTTGACGTCTTGCTGCGTAAGAATCATCTGTGCGACCCAGTTCGTCAACTGGTTGGAGTGTAGAATAAGCGCCTTGACGTTTGCAGCTGGATCAGGCTCGCCTGGAGCAAGTTTCTTCTGCCATGTCTTGTTCAAGCACTCCGTCGGACGAATTTTGCCATACAACCTAGATTCGATGATGGTGAGTTGTCGAGCGAATTCCGTTGCGTCAATGTCCAAGAACTTCAGCTTCTTCATGTGTTTAGGTAGAATAGGTTGCGGCGTCTGGGCACTCAAAGTAAGGACTAAGCGTTTCGTGGGCATGTCTGGTCCTCGAGATCGTTGTTCAACCGATGTCATCAGCGGTGCCGCTCCTGGGGTACTGGTGGTCGCAACGTGGTCCTTTGCAAAGTTGTACACCCGTTGGATCAGGATCCGTGCTTCCTCATCGTTGCCCTCCATCCAGTAATTGTCGAACCAACTCTTGAGAATATTCACAACTCGAAATCGGATCGGCTTCTGCTTTTTGTCTACCCAGTGCTGATAATCTTCTTTAGCCAGTCCATGGGGTGGTTGTATACTCCATCGCTTGACCAACATCTCGAATAGCTCAGAAGCTGTGGTGAATGATCGGTAGGTGAGTAAGAAGGTGTTGTTGAACGCTGGGTCCAGACGGTCGTGACGTGTCAGCTGCTCAACGAGACCAGCCAGAGTACCACCTTTCAGTTGAGGTGGTGTAGACTTGTGGTCATAGGATATTTCGCCCTCATGGTCGAGCTTCAAGTACTCTGGTGTTTCTTCAATTGCCTGCTGAGGGATGACTGGAACTTCACCAAAGAAGTCCTTGAGCTTCTTGTTGCTGTTTGCAGATCGGACCGGCTCGACCTTTCCTTCGTCAAGAGGTGTACCTGCACTGTATGTGTCTGCCTTCGGGATATTGCCAAGCAAGGGTCTCTCGGGACCAGATGGCCCCCGGGTATGGTTTGGCAGCTCACTATCGGTATTTCTCCTTGGGTCTGTACGGCTCACAATATCGGCGAGAGGGACAGTGTCCGATAATTGTTGCAGTAGGCTGTACTGTTGGACGCACGTCGCTTCCAGATCTCGGGCAACTGCTCGCACAGCATTGATCCGGTCCTCAAGTGAATCCCCACGTAGTTCAGCCCACTCGTCTCCCAGTGGTGCTGCTACTCCTTGGCATGCAATCACAAGTTCAGAT